TGTAATTTTCTACAAAAAATTCTTTCTTCACGAGAGAGAGAGAAAAGAGAGAGAGAGAGAGAGAGAGAGAGAGAGAGAGAGAGGAGGAGGAGGGAAGAGAGAGAGAGAGAGGACAGAACGAGGGAGGGGAGGGGCCTCCCGAACAAAGGAAGCATGCCTCGTTTTTCTCGTGACAAGGTTTTAAATCAGTAGTAAAAGTTTTTCTCACGTCAAACGACACTTTACATTTTATCCTTAAATACGTCAGTAATGGAAAACATTACTATTTGCTTACATGAGTAATAGTCCCAGCAGAATCTCTTTTTTTTTTTTGATTCTCTGTGACTATTAAACATTACATCAGAATAAGAGAAAAACTTCCATAACTGATCATTTCTTCACATGAAACTCGTATACTACAGCCAAGAGGCTCTCTTTTTCCTCATTAATCAGATCATTATTATCAGAATCCACATTTTAAATACTTGGCTTTTCTTCTGTTTAAATTAATTGTGCCCTTTTCCCCACCCCCGGGGGATATGGAGTTTTTATTATCCTATAACTTCTGACCCTAACTATCCCTATTTTCTAATCCTATTTCTCTAAACACTTGTGCCTCTTTTGCACTTATACCCCTGTGGCTCTTTTCATCATCTGTTCTGTTTTTTTTGGAGGGACCCATGCTTCCCCCAAGGTTAAAACGTCTAAACCTGACTATTGTTCTATCGCGTCCGATAGAACGCCCCGTCACGGCGGTCGTCTGGCCACGCTGCAATCTGTCGAGCCAAAATCTCTCTCTCTTCTATTTAAAACAATGTGCAGATTTTCAAAACTGTGATCCGCTTACCTTAGAAGCGACCTTTTTGAAGAGCAGAGAGATTTTTCCAAACCCACAAATCCAGTCTCTATAACTGAGCTCATCTCTGTCCCGCTCCTGCCACGATCACGTCAGGGTCACCAAAATGAAGTCAATAATTCCCTTTGACTGACGTATCCAAAGTCGATGCAAGAGCGAGACAAGAGATCTTCACGTTTAACATCTGCATTTAATTATCTTTACAATCAGATACAGAATATTCAACAAAAAAGTGCTCCTAAAACTAATATGTCCCTCTCCTCTTCCCCTGCGCTAACCTTCCCCCCAGAACTCAAACCAACAGTTTTATCAAGACGTCTGATGACGTCACTTGTGGGCGTCTCCCGAATGTTCTTTTCGGGTGTGCTGGCGTCCCGTGTCCACTGGGAGGCGTCAGAATGCCTTTGGAGAATCTCCCAGTCTGCCTGAGAGAGATTAGCCAGATGGTGTTTTTGGACTTTTGGCCTCGCCAGAGAGACAAGAATGTTTATTCCTGGAGTTAATAATTTGTCCCGTTTTGAAAGTTGGTATCTCTATGAATAAAATGTATGTTATTGATGTTACATTAGTGTCTGCTGGTATGGCCAATTCATGTGTGTGGAATGTAGGAAGTGACAGTCATGGCAGTGACCATTTCCCAATTTATTGTACAATCAATATTGGTAAGCACCTGCAAAACGGCCCTATTCTTTCCAGGTGGTGCTTTAAAAAGGCAAATTGGGAGGCATTTAAGGAAAAGTGTAGACAATTAGCCTTGGATATTAATCTGAGCTTAGATATTGATGAGTGTGTGCGAGAAGTATCAACTATGCTAAGTACTGCTGCTTTGGAGCATATTCCCAAAAATACCATTAAAGGTAATAAAAAAATTGTTCCATGGTGGAATGAGGAGTGCAGCTTAGCTGTTAAGGATCGTAATAAAGCATTGAGGACTCTAAAGGAGAATGTGTGTATTGAAAATGTAATTGAGTACAAGAAGAAAAGAGCTAAGGCACGTAAAATCATTAAAACGACTAAGAAGAATACATGGAGGGAGTTTTGTGCTAACCTTGGAAGGACAAGCAGCAGGATGGTCTGGAGTATGATGAAGAAAATGAGTGGGAAAAGAGTTGCTACTAGGATTCCAGTTCTGGTTGATGGTGGAAATGTAGCTGTAATAGATTCAGATAAGGCTAGTCTGTTAGGGAAAGAGTTTGCTGGTGTGCATAGTGGAAATCACTTGACAGATATGCATAGACAGAGGAAATGTGAGATGCTCACTGAATTTGGAAATGAAGTAAGGAGGAAGTGTGAGAGTAACTCTGTTATGGATGTAGATTTTACTATGGCAGAACTTAAAGGTGCGCTGCAAGGTAGTAAGAATTCAGCTCCAGGGAGTGACCAGCTTAGTTATGTTATGTTCAGAAACCTTCCCAATGAAGCCTTAAAAATTGTGCTGGAATGTTTTAATAAAATCTGGGACAAGGGTAGATTACCAGAAAGCTGGAAAACTGCAGTTATCTTACCCTTTGCTAAACCTGGGAAAGATGCAAATAGTGCCAAAAATTATAGACCAATTGCCCTGACGTCTCACTTATGTAAGTGGATGGAAAAAATGATTGTTGCAAGAATGGCTTATTATCTAGAGAAGAATAGTCTGTTCAGTAAATATCAACATGGTTTCAGAAAGGGTAGATCAACAGCAGATGCTTTGATTAAAGTCAGCAATGAAATAGAAAAGGCTCTGAAAATGAAAGAGGTATTTGTCATTGTCTTCTTTGATATTGAGAAGGCTTATGATTCAATGTGGAGAGAGGGTCTCCTCATTAAAATGAGTAGAATGGGTCTTGGAGGGAAAATGTTTAATTGGATGAAAAGTTTTTTATCTGAACGAAAATTCCAAGTCAAAGTGGGCAGTGCTATATCTGAGAGTTTTGACATTGTTAATGGAATTCCACAAGGTAGTGTGGTAAGCCCAGTTATGTTCAACCTGATGATTAATGATATCTTTGATTCGATTGGAGATGGCATTCAGTCTTCACTATATGCAGATGATGGAGCAGTGTGGAAAAGGGGTAAGAATATTAAACACGTATTTAAATGTATGCAAAAAGCTATTTGTGCAGTGGAAAAATGGTCGTATGAGTGGGGGTTTAAGATTTCAATTGAGAAATCATGTTACATGGTAATCAGTAGGAAAAAGATTGCATGCTTTCCAGCTCTTCATCTGTACAATTGTCAGATGGAAAAAGTAACTCATTTCAAATATCTGGGGATGTGGTTTGATGAGAAGCTCAGCTGGGGTAAACATGTAGAGAACACAGAGACAAAATGTAAGAAGATTGTGAATTTATTAAAATGTATATCAGGCTCTCAATGGGGTGCGGACAGAATTCTTTTATTAAAGATGTACAGAGCTATCATGAGGTCTACCTTGGACTACGGTTGCATGGTTTATGATTCTGCAGCTAAATCCCATCTTGAGAAGCTGGATCGAGTACAGTTCAGGGCATTGAGAGTGTGTATTGGTGCTATGAAATCTACCCCAATCAATGCGCTACTTGTAGAATCAGGGGAACTCCCATTAACATTGAGAAGATCGAAGGTTGCTCTCTCATACTGGATCAGACTTCAAGGACAAAAGGAATGTAATACTGCATATACTGTGTTACAGAATTGCTGGGAGTATGAAAAATTTCCTAATGGGGGATTTGGATGGAGAATTAAAGAGCTGGTGAAAGTTCATAATGTTGGCAATGTTCCCTTGTCTTCTGCTACAGTGTACTGTAACATTGCTCCATGGATGCTTCCACAGCCTCAAGTAGATTTGAGTCTGCTGAATAAAAAGAAAGAATGGAAGGGTAAGAATTGTGACTTGGGATATATGTCACAAAAGTATTTGGATACAAGGTACTCTTATTGTTTACCTATTTTTACTGATGGATCTAAGGAATGTAGCAATGGTCGTGTTGGAGTGGGTGTGTACATTCCAAAGTTTGAAAAATGCTTCTCAAAGAGACTCACGGACAATCTTTCAGTCTACACTGCAGAACTGTTCGCCATAATACTTGGCCTGCAATGGGTTGAGGAAGTGAAGCCGCTTTGGGTGGTTATCTGTTCAGACTCTGCAGCAGTGCTGCAAAGTCTGACTTCAGGAATGACTTGTCGAAAGGATTTGATTATTGAAGTAAATGTGATGCTATTGAATCTACAACAGATGGGTATTCAAGTGCAGTTTTGTTGGATCCCTGCACATGTTGATATTTTTGGGAATGATGTGGCAGATAAACTGGCAAAAAGAGCACTTCGAGAAGAGAATATTATTGCAATTCCTTTTGGAGGATCAGAGATAAAAAGTGTAATAAATCAGAGCATTGTAGCAGTGTGGCAGGAGATATGGGACCATGATGTTAAGGGACGACATTTGTACGGGATCAAAAAGAGTGTCAGAGCTTATAGATTAACACCTGCCAGTTATCACAGGAGAAACGATACAGCACTTACCCGCCTAAGGCTCGGACATACAGGACTGAACTCAACATTGTTTATAATAAATAAGTCTGCTACAGATAAGTGTGACATGTGTGATGTAAGTGAGACAGTTGAGCATGTGCTGTTGAAATGTGAAAAGTACAGTGTGCAAAGGGATGCTTTTAAGGGCTCAGTGATAGAAGCAGGGCGGGAGTGGAGCATGGAGGGTATTTTGGGAGAGGGGCTTAATCAAGAGAAGGCATGGAGGGCACTGTTTTATTTTTTAAATTCAACAAAAATCATAAATAGACTGTAACATTGTACCAAAGGCATGTAGTATTACGCTCTGATACAGTAGGTGGCGGCATACGTCAATGCTGATTCGTAGCCCGCCATAAAATTACAGAAGAAGAAGAAGACATCCATCTTGTTTTTGAGCACATAAGCAAAAGCCTGAAAAACGTGACCCAGAGCAGAAATATATATTAAGATTTGAGATTGATTTAGAAAACGAAACATATCCTTGAGGTTGAAAAAATATAGAAACTTAGACCACATCTGTTACAAAACAAAGTTATCTCGGTGAGTGAAAACTATCATTTTGTGTTGATTAGCTTGAAGCTAAAATTGTGAAATGACTTAAAAATATACATTTCAACGTTGCAGTGGATTACATTGGATAAAAAACCAGTCTGGCTATCTACAATAGCAGTGGATGTTACCCCACAGGTACATTTTGTTGTATTTTTGTACACTAATGAATGCATTTTGAAGGGAAATGATTTGGTTTTGTGAAAAGAATGCCAATTTTGATTTAATGTGATATACTTTAATTTTTGTTACCCAATTCCAGTTTAAAGGTTATAACATGTACGTTGTATTATTGAAAATATGGACTATTAAGTAGTGGAAGATTAAAACAAAGACATTTATTTGAACATAAGTTAATTTTCTGCACATTTTGTGTAGACTGGTTTTTTTAGAGGCTTCTTCTGGTCCTGGTGTTCCTTCCGCTGAAGCTGGATTCCTCTCTGTTCGCCCTGGTGCCTGGTTCCCTTGTCCACTGCCTCATCTAACAGCGCTGCAACGGTCCAATCGGGTTGTGTGATATGGACGCTAAGTAAGGGGTGGTTGGACAATTAAAATTTGAGTGCACTCAAGGGTAACTATATTTTGACAGATTTTCCTTTTGTTTTTTTCGGTTCATGAGATCTCAAAAGAATGTGTGGCCGATTTGTACACCAAATGTCATATTTTTGTGTTCTGAACTAAATATTGAATTTTGGATAAGGAAATAAGGAAACATTTGAATAAGACCCACATTACTTAACTCTTTAATCTGTTGTCCTGTGCTTCATTCGGAGTGGAATGGTCTTCTGACCTTATGATTAGTACAACACCAACCTCTTCATCGTACCTAGATTTTTGATAACGCCTACCATAGATTATTAGCCTGCCTACAAGCAGAATTACCACCGTAGGGTTACAGGAGCATTCACACTTCATGTTTCTAACTCTTCTAACCACATTTTTGCAGAATCTGCCAAGATGAAAGTGTTGTTGAGTCTCAGCGTTCTGCTCTGGTCTCAGTGTAAGTAACACACAGAACCTTTCACGTCTCACTCTCTTTAACTGTTGTTTTGTGTTTCAGGTGCAGCTCGGTTACTGGAAATCCAGCAGCAAGAATGTTTGAGAACTGCAAAGCTCGGAGAAGCCGTAGAAATGAAATGTCTGACCAGGAGTTATTGGGAAAGTAGAGTGTGGTACAAACTTGTCACCAACAGGAGTCTACTTCTGCTCGCTTCAACAAATAAAATTTTTCCCCATGATCCTGACGTCAGTTTACATTGTTGATGCACAGGCTGAGGTGACGTATGCAGGAGTGAAGGTGGTGCCCAGAAGTGCCTCAGTCTCACCACGACTGGACCCAGTGGTTTATTCTGAAGTTAAGAAACGACAAGACAGACCACCGAGATGTTACTAGACTCCTGTCACACTGCTTATGTATTTATTTACAAGTCTGCATTCTTTATTTAGTTGTATTCATCATCCTATGTTTCTCCGGAAGATATCTTGTTAAAACACACAAAATATGCCAAACAGGAGAAAAACTTTCAGCTTTGAAGTTTGTGAGATGTTGTCAGAGTTTTAGAGCAAGAGTTCTTGACAAATTCTTGTTAAAACACTTAACCCCACTTTGCCTGAAGCCCCCACTGAAAGATCAAGGCTTCTGTGGACTCACCCCCTGCATCCACTGAAGTAAAGAAAGCCGTCCACTTGATTCTTTGGTTGTAATAAAACAACCAGATTCCAAAGAGAGAAGATTTTTACACCTCTGCTGTAACCGCACAGAAGTTTCCACCTCATCACCTCATTACACAAATGTGAACCACCGGACCCACCAGATCAAACAAAAATAAGGACAGAAAAAAAGGTAACGAATGGCTAAAAAAACAACCAAACCATGCGGCGTCTGGGGAGGCCGCGACCAGGACCAAGAGCAGCTCGTGCACGCTCACCTCAGGTGTTGCGAACAGAGGCTGAGGAGTGCACAAGGACAGCGCTTTTATTCTCCCGGCCTGAGCTGCAAAACATACTAAATAAGTTACTCAAAATAAGTTACAAAACATGAAAAACCTATAAAATATACTTATAAAAACAATCTTACCAAAAAATATAAAACCCAAAAATACCTGGACAAAAAAAGATAAGACATAAAACCAAAGGGGGAAAAGGTGCCCAAACGTAACAGCCTCTGTCACATATATGGATCCACTCTCAGCCTAAACAGTCAAATAGTGACTCACAGGGCTGTTTCTTACATGTTTCACAAACTAATAAGACGAAGACAGCATGTTGTCTGATTTGTTCTTCACATTTCACTTTTACAAGACTTTGCATTATTAGTAGGGGAAAAGTTTAGATTCCCCAGCTTTGTGTGTTCGCATCTGTATACAGTCTGTGTTAGCATTAGCATCTGTATACAGTCTGTGTTAGCATTAGCATCTGTATACAGTCTGTGTGTAGCATTAGCATCTGTATACAGTCTGTGTTAGCATTAGCCTCTGTATACAGTCTGTGTTAGCATTAGCATCTGTATACAGTCTGTGTTAGCATTAGCATCTGTATACAGTCTGTGTTAGCATAAGCAATCTGTATACAGTCTGTGTTAGCATTAGCATCTGTATACAGTCTGTGTTAGCATTAGCATCAGTATACAGGACTGTGTTAGCATTAGCATCTGTATACAGTCTGTGTTAGCAATAGCATCTGTATACAGTCTGTGTTAGCATTAGCAAATCTGTATACAGTCTGTGTTAGCATTAGCATCTGTATACAGTCTGTGTTAGCATTAGCATCTGTATACAGTCTGTTTAGCATTAGCATCTGTATACAGTCTGTGTTAGCATTAGCATCTGTATACAGTCTGTGTTAGCATTAGCATCTGTATACAGTCTGTGTTAGCATTAGCATCTGTATACAGTCTGTGTTAGCATTAGCATCTGTATACAGTCTGTGTTAGCATTAGCATCTGTATACAGTCTGTGTTAGCATTAGCATCTGTATACAGTCTGTGTTAGCATTAGCATCTGTATACAGTCTGTGTTAGCATTAGCATCTGTATACAGTCTGTGTTAGCATTAGCATCTGTATACAGTCTGTGTTAGCATTAGCATCTGTATACAGTCTGTGTTAGCATTAGCATCTGTATACAGTCTGTGTTAGCATTAGCATCTGTATACAGTCTGTGTTAGCATTAGCATCTGTATACAGTCTGTGTTAGCATTAGCATCTGTATACAGTCTGTGTTAGCATTAGCATCTGTATACAGTCTGTGTATAGCATTAGCATCTGTATACAGTCTGTGTTAGCAATTAGCATCTGTATACAGTCTGTGTTAGCATTAGCATCTGTAAATACAGTCTGTGTTAGCATTAGCATCTGTATACAGTCTGTGTTAGCATTAGCATCTGTATACAGTCTGTGTTAGCATTAGCATCTGTATACAGTCCTGTGTTAGCATTAGCATCTGTATACAGTCTGTGTTAGCATTAGCATCTGTATACAGTCTGTGTTAGCATTAGCATCTGTATACAGTCTGTGTTAGCATTAGCATCTGTATACAGTCTGTGTTAGCATTAGCATCTGTATACAGTCTGTGTTAGCATTAGCATCTGTATACAGTCTGTGTTAGCATTAGCATCTGTATACAGTCTGTGTTAGCATTAGCATCTGTATAACAGTCTGTGTTAGCATTAGCATCTGTATACAGTCTGTGTTAGCATTAGCATCTGTATACAGTCTGTGTTAGCATTAGCATCTGTATACAGTCTGTGTTTAGCATTAGCATCTGTATACAGTCTGTGTTAGCATTAGCATCTGTATACAGTCTGTGTTAGCATTAGCATCTGTATAACAGTCTGTGTTAGCATTAGCATCTGTATACAGTCTGTGTTAGCAATAGCATCTGTATACAGTCTGTGTTAGCATTAGCATCTGTATTAGCTGTGTTAGCATTAGCATCTGTATACAGTCTGTGTTAGCATTAGCATCTGTATACAGTCTGTGTTAGCATTAGCATCTGTATACAGTCTGTGTTAGCATTAGCATCTGTATACAGTCTGTGTTAGCATTAGCATCTGTATACAGTCTGTGTTAGCATTAGCATCTGTATACAGTCTGTGTTAGCATTAGCATCTGTATACAGTCTGTGTTAGCATTAGCATCTGTATACAGTCTGTGTTAGCATTAGCATCTGTATACAGTCTGTGTTAGCATTAGCATCTGTATACAGTCTGTGTTAGCATTAGCATCTGTATCAGGTCTGTTTAGCATTAGCATCTGTGTTAGCATTAGCATCTGTATACAGTCTGTGTTAGCATTAGCATCTGTATACAGTCTGTGTTAGCATTAGCATCTGTATACAGTCTGTGTAGCATTAGCATCTGTATACAGTCTGTGTTAGCATTAGCATCCGTATACAGTCTGTGTTAGCATTAGCATCTGTATACAGTCTGTGTTAGCATTAGCATCTGTATACAGTCTGTGTTAGCATTAGCATCTGTATACAGTCTGTGTTAGCATTAGCATCCGTATACAGTCTGTGTTAGCATTAGCATCTGTATACAGTCTGTGTTAGCATTAGCATCTGTATACAGTCTGTGTTAGCATTAGCATCTGTATACAGTCTATATTAGCATTAGCATCTGTATACAGTCTGTGTTAGCATTAGCATCTGTATACAGTCTGTGTTAGCATTAGCATCTGTATACAGTCTGTGTTAGCATTAGCATCTGTATACAGTCTGTGTTAGCATTAGCATCTGTATACAGTCTGTGTTAGCATTAGCATCTGTATACAGTCTGTGTTAGCATTAGCATCTGTATACAGTCTGTGTTAGCATTAGCATCTGTATACAGTCTGTGTTAGCATTAGCATCTGTATACAGTCTGTGTTAGCATTAGCATCCGTATACAGTCTGTGTTAGCATTAGCATCTGTATACAGTCTGTGTTAGCATTAGCATCAGTATACAGTCTGTGTTAGCATTAGCATCTGTATACAGTCTGTGTTAGCATTAGCATCTGTATACAGTCTGTGTTAGCATTAGCACCTGTATACAGTCTGTGTTAGCATTAGCATCTGTATACAGTCTGTGTTAGCATTAGCACCTGTATACAGTCTATGTTAGCATTAGCATCTGTATACAGTCTGTGTTAGCATTAGCATCTGTATACAGTCTGTGTTAGCATTAGCATCTGTATACAGTCTGTGTTAGCATTAGCACCTGTATACAGTCTGTATTAGCATTAGCATCTGTATACAGTCTATTAGCATTAGCATCTGTATACAGTCTGTATACAGTCTATATTAGCATTAGCATCTGTATACAGTCTATATTAGCATTAGCATCTGTATACAGTCTATATTAGCATTAGCATCTGTATACAGTCTATATTAGCATTAGCATCTGTATACAGTCTATATTAGCATTAGCACCTGTATACAGTCTATATTAGCATTAGCACCTGTATACAGTCTATATTAGCACCTGTATACAGTCTATATTAGCATTAGCATCTGTATGCAGGCTGTATTAGCATTAGCATCTGTATACAGTCTATATTAGCATTAGCATCTGTATACAGTTTGTGTTAGCATTAGCATCTGTATACAGTCTGTGTTAGCATTAGCATCTGTATACAGTCTGTGTTAGCATTAGCATCTGTATACAGTCTATATTAGCATTAGCATCTGTATGCAGGCTGTATTAGCATTAGCATCTGTATACAGTCTATATTAGCATTAGCACCTGTATACAGTCTATATTAGCATTAGCACCTGTATACAGTCTATATTAGCATTAGCACCTGTATACAGTCTATATTAGCATTAGCATCTGTATACAGTCTATATTAGCATTAGCATCTGTATACAGTCTATATTATATTAGCATCTGTATACAGTCTATATTAGCATTAGCATCTGTATGCAGGCTGTATTAGCATTAGCATCTGTATACAGTCTATATTAGCATTAGCATCTGTATACAGTCTATATTAGCATTAGCACCTGTATACAGTCTATATTAGCATTAGCATCTGTATACAGTCTATATTAGCATTAGCACCTGTATACAGTCTATATTAGCATTAGCATCTGTATACAGTCTATATTAGCATTAGCACCTGTATACAGTCTATATTAGCATTAGCACCTGTATACAGTCTATATTAGCATTAGCATCTGTATACAGTCTATATTAGCATTAGCACCTGTATACAGTCTATATTAGCATTAGCATCTGTATACAGTCTATATTAGCATTAGCATCTGTATACAGTCTATATTAGCATTAGCATCTGTATACAGTCTATATTAGCATTAGCATCTGTATACAGTCTATATTAGCATTAGCATCTGTATGCAGGCTGTATTAGCATTAGCATCTGTATACAGTCTATATTAGCATTAGCACCTGTATACAGTCTATATTAGCATTAGCACCTGTATACAGTCTATATTAGCATTAGCACCTGTATACAGTCTATATTAGCATTAGCATCTGTATACAGTCTATATTAGCATTAGCATCTGTATACAGTCTATATTAGCATTAGCATCTGTATACAGTCTATATTAGCATTAGCATCTGTATGCAGGCTGTATTAGCATTAGCATCTGTATACAGTCTATATTAGCATTAGCACCTGTATACAGTCTATATTAGCATTAGCACCTGTATACAGTCTATATTAGCATTAGCATCTGTATACAGTCTATATTAGCATTAGCACCTGTATACAGTCTATATTAGCATTAGCATCTGTATACAGTCTATATTAGCATTAGCACCTGTATACAGTCTATATTAGCATTAGCACCTGTATACAGTCTATATTAGCATTAGCATCTGTATACAGTCTATATTAGCATTAGCATCTGTATACGGTCTATATTAGCATTAGCATCTGTATACAGTCTATATTAGCATTAGCATCTGTATACAGTCTATATTAGCATTAGCACCTGTATACAGTCTATATTAGCATTAGCATCTGTATACAGTCTATATTAGCATTAGCATCTGTATACAGTCTATATTAGCATTAGCACCTGTATACAGTCTATATTAGCATTAGCATCTGTATACAGTCTATATTAGCATTAGCATCTGTATACAGTCTATATTAGCATTAGCACCTGTATACAGTCTATATTAGCATTAGCATCTGTATACAGTCTATATTAGCATTAGCATCTGTATACAGTCTATATTAGCATTAGCATCTGTATACAGTCTATATTAGCATTAGCACCTGTATACAGTCTATATTAGCATTAGCATCTGTATACAGTCTATATTAGCATTAGCATCTGTATACAGTCTATATTAGCATTAGCATCTGTATACAGTCTATATTAGCATTAGCATCTGTATACAGTCTATATTAGCATTAGCATCTGTATACAGTCTATATTAGATGTGGTGGAGGGCCATTAACCTGGCCCTCCACCACATCCTACAGCACCTGGACTCCCCGGGGACCTACGCCAGGGTCCTGTTCGTGGACTTCAGCTCTGCCTTCAACACAATCCTGCCATCCCTGCTCCAGGACAAGCTCTCCCAGCTCAACGTGCCCGATTCCACCTGCAGGTGGATCACTGACTTCCTGACGGACAGGAAGCAGCGAGTGCGTCTGGGGAAGAATGTCTCGGACTCTGGGATTATAAATACAGGAGCCCCACAGGGCTGTGTTCTTTCTCCCCTGCTCTTCTCCCTGTACACCAACCACTGCACCTCCAGCCACGACTCCGTGAAGCTGATCAAGTTCGCAGGACGACACCACCCTCATTGGACTCATCTCCAACAACGATGAGTCCGCCTACAGGAGGGAGGTGGACCGGCTGGTGTCCTGGTGTCTCCTACAGGAGGGAGGTGGACCGGCTGGTGTCCTGGTGTCTCCTACAGGAGGGAGGTGGACCGGCTGGTGTCCTGGTGTCTCCTACAGGAGGGAGGTGGACCGGCTGGTGTCCTGGTGTCTCCTACAGGAGGGAGGTGGACCGGCTGGTGTCCTGGTGTCTCCTACAGGAGGAGGTGGACCGGCTGGTGTCCTGGTGTGTCTCCTACAGGAGGGAGGTGGACCGGCTGGTGTCCTGGTGTCTCCTACAGGAGGGAGGTGGACCGGCTGGTGTCCTGGTGTGTCTCCTACAGGAGGGAGGTGGACCGGCTGGTGTCCTGGTGTCTCCTACAGGAGGGAGGTGGACCGGCTGGTGTCCTGGTGTCTCCTACAGGAGGGAGGTGGAGCCTGGTGCTCCTACAGGTGGACCGGCTGGTGTCCTGGTGTCCCTACAGGAGGGAGGTGGACCGGCTGGTGTCCTGGTGTCTCCTACAGGAGGGAGGTGGACCGGCTGGTGTCCTGGTGTCTCCTACAGGAGGGAGGTGGACCGGCTGGTGTCCTGGTGTCTCCTACAGGAGGGAGGTGGACCGGCTGGTGTCCTGGTGTCTCCTACAGGAGGGAGGTGGACCGGCTGGTGTCCTGGTGTCTCCTACAGGAGGGAGGTGGACCGGCTGGTGTCCTGGTGCAGTGGTAACAACCTGGAGCTGAACGCCCAGAAGACAGTGGAGATGATTGTGGACTTCAGGAAGAGCACTGTCCCCCCGCCCCCACCCTCCGTGATGGACTCCCCCATCACCTCTGTGGAGTCCTTCCGTTTCCTGGGCACCACCATCACCCAGGACCTCAAGTGGGAGCCGACCATCAGCTCCTCATCAAGAAGGCCCAGCAGAGGATGTACTTCCTGCGGCAGCTCAGGAAAGCCAAGCTGCAGTTCTACACGGCCATCATCGAGTCCATCCGCACCTCCTCCATCACCTCCTCATCACCTCCTCCATCACCTCCTCCATCACCTCCATCACCTCCTCCATCACCTCCTCCATCACCTCCTCCATCACCTCCTCCATCACCTCCTCCATCACCTCCTCCATCACCTCCTCATCACCTCCTCCGTCACCGTGTGGTTCGCTGGAGCCACAGTCAGGGACAAACAGAGACTACAGTGCATTGTGCGCTCTGCAGAGGAAGTGATCGGCCGCAGCCTTCCATCGCTGCAGGACCTGTACGTCGCCCGAGCTCGAGGCCGGGCTGGTCGTATCACAGCCGACCCCTCTCACCTGCACATGGACTATTCCAACCACTCCCCTCTCACCTGCACATGGACTATTCCAACCACTCCCCTCTCACCTGCACATGGACTATTCCAACCACTCCCCTCTCACCTGCACATGGACTATTCCAACCACTCCCCTCTCACCTGCACATGGACTATTCCAACCACTCCCCTCTCACCTGCACATGGACTATTCCAACCACTCCCCACAGGCAGGAGGCTGCGGTCCATCAGGACTAGAACCTCCCGCCACAAGAACAGTTTCTTCCCCTCTGCTGTTGGACTCTTGAACACTTCTTAACCTGTCCCCCCGCCCTTTATAAAGTCACTTTACTGCCCATCATACGTCACTTTACTTCACTGTACTGCTGTCACCTTACATTGTGTGCACCATGTGCACTTGGATATTGTAAATAGTAACTGTAACTCTATTTTAAATTTAAATTTATTCTTTAGAAGTGTTTTTTATTCTTATTTTTATTATCTCTTTTTGACTGTTGCACTGAGCCAAAGCAATTTCCAAGTCTGTGACCTCCTGTTACTTGCAATAAAAATGATTCTGATTCTGATTCTGATATTAGCATTAGCATCTGTATACAGTCTATATTAGCATTAGCACCTGTATACAGTCTATATTAGCATTAGCATCTGTATACAGTCTATATTAGCATTAGCATCTGTATACAGTCTATATTAGCATGCACAAGCTTCTCTCAAAGCAACACAATAAGATCAACCAGCTGCAGAGATTGTGTAGTGGTGCTTTCTTCAGACACACTTATGTATGTGTATGTGTGTACACACACAGACACACACACACACACACACACACACACAGACAGACACACACACACACACACACAGACACACACAGACACACACACAGACACACACACAGACACACACACACACACACACACAGACAGACACACAGACACACACACACACACACACATACACGTTTTTGTTACCTGGTGGGTCCCTTTGACAGGGCCGTTCAGAATGGGACCCATAGACATAATCTTTTTTTACTGGGACTACTTTAAGTAATACAAAACAGTCAATAGAAAACAAACAACAATTTTAAAGGAATTTTATTTTAGATTTTTTTTTTGAATTGCAGTGATTCTATTTTTGACATAGAATTTAATGCCACTCCATGTCCGATGTCTAAGGTCATCTGGTGAGGCATTAATGCAGGCCAGGCAGTGAGACTTCCCAGGGACCTTTCCAGTCTGTATGAAAGGTGTCATGGTCTTCTCCACAGCCTTCACCTCAGATGCAGACCATGGCTTTCTCTAACGTTCTAGGGAGAGAAATAAAAATATATTAGCAATATACACTCCCAGGGTTAGGACCAAGCAGCCTGGCTGTAATCCCCCACCTGGTACACTTACCAGAAGGGGCACTGCCACTACCATGGGGTGCATCTGGATGAATGGTTGAAGGTTCTCCGCTTGAAGTTTCTTTTAGCCCGTCCGTTTGTGAGAGGATCTCTACTGCTCTCCCTGTCGCACAGAAAATAAAAATACAAGTGGCATTTAGGGGAAAAAAATCATACATATTTTAATAATATCAAGAATTACCTTCAGGCTCAATTTGTATCTGGTCGAGGCTCTTTCCTTCGAATTCCGTCACTCTTCCCTGCTCCATGGCCATCAACACTTTGCTGATTTTGGCCAGCTCCAGTGTCCCCTCTGGTAGTCTGTAATATTGCCTGTGGATGCGAATGTCATGGCCGAGGAAGTTGGCAAGTATGTCCATCTCATTCTCTTTCATATTGAGAACTGTAGACATAGTAGCTATGTGCTTTCTAAGTTTGGTTGAGGATAGCATCTCTGGATGCACCGCACCACATTTTTTGGCTACCTGGCGTAGGGAGTCTGATCCCCTGATGTGGGTGTCTGCGCCCGGGCGGGAAAAGAAGTATGGGTTATGGTCAGAGATGGAACAGGCCCTTCTGTTCTCCACCAGCACCTCCATCGAAGCAATCATTTCAGGAGTCAAAAGAACCGGCACTTTCCGACTTCTTTTCCCTTTAATTTCAATGCGTTGAAAATGCTGACACAGCTTTTTCTCAAGTTGGGACAGTCCCAGAGCAATGTCAGAATGGATCCCAGTCTTACTTCTTAAGGTAAAGGCTGTCAGTGGCATCTTTGAAACCTCACCTTCCCTTCTTCGATTGAAAATGATGACCTCACAAAGAGTCAAAACTGCCAGTTTAGACCAATGCTTAGACGTTGGCTCACTTATTAGGGTTTGCACATATTCAGGTCGACATACCTCAATATGTGCATGCATGGCTCTAACGTCCTCAGTCAGAGGGAGCAGGTCCGGAGTGTTCCACTTGGCTTGCCGGAGGGTCTGTAGGGCAGCAGAAGAAACACAGACGTCCCACCTCTTCTCAAAAAGCAGCCGGCTTCGTTGGAGGTTTTTAATAAATAGTTCATCAACACAATGCTCCATTTTTGAGTCACATTCAAGAATATCTGCTAGCTTTCTGAGGCTATGGCCGAGTTTGAGGGCCAAGGATGGAGTCTTGTATTGATTTGTTTCCTCATCATATCCAGCCACAGACCTGACTGCATCAATCACATGGTTAAAGTTGGAAGGAATAAAGAAATCCTTAATTGTTTTCAGTTTCCCTGCGGTTTTTGCTTCGTTAAATTACCTACCGACTTCTCTCATTTTCTGCCTAATGTAATCATGCTTAGTCTTATCATGCCCGTGTTTTAAGTACAGGTGCTCTCCGAGTCTCAGAATCCCCTTTTCTGCTTTGACAACACCCGTGACCTCATCCTGATGCATTGCCGAAATTAAAGACCACAGCTTTTTGCTGATGCCCTCCGGTACAGGCTGGGCTAGGGAGCAGAGGGACTGGACCCTACTTCTACCTGGTTTAGCCTGGGCATCTTTCTGTGAAAGCCGGCACCGGGCCACATGCCTCCACAGCGACTTTCGCTTAAGCAATGCCCCACAGTCTATACAGTGCAAAAACTCACTGGATTTAACTGGGCAATTTGGCTGTTTAGCTGGGACTAAAGTTCCAATGCCGGCCTTTAAAACCTCAAAATTGTGCTCACGGTTTCCACTATTCCTGATCAAATCAAACTGAAGTTTACGTGCTTTAGATTTCACAGGTAGAGCCAATGCTCTGGCTACGTCACTTTCATTTCCATGTTTTCTAGTCAAATGACGGGACATTTTGTGGCAGGACATTGAACAGTAGAGGCAGAAGTGTCTCTTGCTGTATACTCGCCCCCCATTTTTCTTCTTTTGCAGCTGCATGATAACAATCTTATTTGCCTTTGGTTCGTCACTTTCCGAGTCTTGAAGAAAAGTGTTTTTGATTTTTCTTTTTCCATACTTTTTTACAGGTTTCTTCTTGACAGTTAAATCGTCAGAATCTGAGTCGACTTCATCAATTAGGGACTCTTGACTAAGCTGCACAAACAACAAATAATTTGTAATCATTCTATATAACAATTTGAAGTCATGACTTGTAGTCAGCACTTACCAGTGGTTTGTAAGCGTGCGCTTCAGTGTGCTGCTCTGTGATTGGCTGCAGCCTAATGAACCACACACTTGCACCTTTTTCTAGCCTGACACCTGATTTCCTCTGTTGTGCTGCTCCATGATTGGCTCCAGCCTGCTGGACTGAAATTGCCCCAGTGTGCCCCTCCTTGATATCCCGCAACCCACCACCAGGGTTCCGACACATAACACACTTTTTTCAGGAAAGTAAACCTCCAGGGGTCCTTTCCATATTTTTACAGAGACTGCATAAGGACCGTTAGAAAAGCATTACCCATTGATTATTAAGCTTGGACCAGTGGGGTCCGGTGTTCGGGCCCCACCACGTAAAACCAGTCCCCATGACGTGAGTGGAATCTCAGGTTATGGAACCCACCAGGAGTTGAAAACAAGTGCACACACGCGCGACACACACACACACACACACACACAACACGTTTTTGTTACCTGGTGGGTCCCTTTGACAGGGCCGTTCAGAATGGGACCCATAGACATAATCTTTTTTTACCAAGACTACTTTAAGTAATACAAAACAGTCAATAGAAACCAAACAACTATTTTAAAGGAATTTTATTTTTGATTTTGTTTTCGAATTGCAGTGATTCTATTTTTGACATAGAATTTAATGCCACTCCATGTCCGATGTCTAAGGTCATCTGGTGAGGCATTAATGCAGGCCAGGCCAGGCCAGGCAGGCAGTGAGACTTCCCAGGGACCTTTCCAGTCTGTATGAAAGGTGTCATGGTCTTCTCCACAGCCTCCACCTCAGATGCAGACCATGGCTTTCTTACACGTTCTAGGGAGAGAAATAAAAATATATTAGCAATATACACTCCCAGGGTTAGGACCAAACAGCCTGGCTGTAATCCCCCACCTGGTACACTTACCAGAAGGGGCACTGCCACTACCATGGGGTGCATCTGGATGAATGGTTGAAGGTTCTCCGCTTGAAGTTTCTTTTAGCCCGTCCGTTTGTGAGAGGATCTCTACTGCTCTCCCTGTCGCACAGAAAATAAAAATACAAGTGGCCTTTAGGGGAAAAAAATCATACATATTTTAATAATATCAAGAATTACCTTCAGGCTCAATTTGTATCTGGTCGAGGCTCTTTCCTTTGAATTCCGTCACTCTTCCCTGCTCCATGGCCATCAACACTTTGCTGATTTTGGCCAGCTCCAGTGTCCCCTCTGGTAGTCTGTAATATTGTCTGTGGATGCGAATGTCATGGCCGAGGAAGTTGGCTAGTATGTCCATCTCATTCTCTTTCATATTGAGAACTGTAGACATAGTAGCTATGTGCTTTCTAAGTGTGGTTGAGGATAGCATCTCTGGATGCACCGCACCACATTCTTTGGCTACCTGCCGTAGGGAGTCTGATCCCCTGATGTGGGTGTCTGCGCCCGGGCGGGAAAAGAAGTATGGGTTATGGTCAGAGATGGAACAGGCCCTTCTGTTCTCCACCAGCACCTCCATCCAAGCAATCATTTCAGGAGTCAAAAGAACCGGCACTTTCCGACTTCTTTTCCCTTTAATTTCAATGCGTTGAAAATGCTGACACAGCTTTTTCTCAAGTTTGGACAGTCCCAGAGCAATGTCAGAATGGATCCCAGTCTTACTTCTTAAGGTAAAGGCTGTCAGTGGCATCTTTGAAACCTCACCTTCCCTTCTTCGATTGAAAATAATGACCTCACAAAGAGTCAAAACTGCCAGTTTAGACCAATGCTTAGACGTTGGCTCACTTATTAGGGTTTGCACATATTCAGGTCGACATACCTCAATATGTGCATGCATGGCTCTAACGTCCTCAGTCAGAGGGAGCAGGTCCAGAGTGTTCCACTTGGCTTGCCGGAGGGTCTGTAGGGCAGCAGAAGAAACAGACGTCCCACCTCTTCTCAAAAAGCAGCCGGCTTCGTTGGAGGTTTTTAATAAATAGTTCATCAACACAATGCTCCATTTTTGAGTCACATTCAAGAATATCTGCTTTCTGAGGCTATGGCCGAGTTTGAGGGCCAAGGATGGAGTCTTGTATTGATTTGTTTCCTCATCATATCCAGCCACAGACCTGACTGCATCAATCACATGGTTAAAGTTGGAAGGAATAAAGAAATCCTTAATTGTTTTCAGTTTCCCTGCGGTTTTTGCTTCGTTAATTAACCTACCGACTTCTCTCATTTTCTGCCTAATGTAATCATGCTTTGTCTTATCATGCCCGTGTTTTAAGTACAGGTGCTCTCCGAGTCTCAGAATCCCCTTTTCTGCTTTGACAACACCCGTGACCTCATCCTGATGCATTGCCGAAATTAAAGACCACAGCTTTTTGCTGATGCCCTCCGGTACAGGCTGGGCTAGGGAGCAGAGGGACTGGACCCTACTTCTACCTGGTTTAGCCTGGGCATCTTTCTGTGAAAGCCGGCACCTGGCCACATGCCTCCACAGCGACTTTCGCTTAAGCAATGCCCCACAGTCTATACAGTGCAAAAACTCACTGGATTTAACTGGGGAATTTGGCTGTTTAGCTGGGACTAAAGTTCCAATGCCGGCCTTTAAAACCTCAACATTGTGCTCACGGTTTCCACTATTCCTGATCAAATCAAACTGAAGTTTACGTGCTTTAGATTTCAGAGGTAGAGCCAATGCTCTGGCTACGTCACTTTCATTTCCATGTTTTCTAGTCAAATGACGGGACATTTTGTGGCAGGACATTGAACAGTAGAGGCAGAAGTGCCTCTTGCTGTAAACTCGCCCCCCATTTTTCTTTTTTTGCAGCTGCATGATAACAATCTTATTTGCCTTTGGTTCGTCACTTTCCGAGTCTTGAAGAAAAGTGTTTTTGATTTTTCTTTTTCCATACTTTTTTACAGGTTTCTTCTTGACAGTTAAATTGTCAGAATCTGAGTCGACTTCATCAATTAGGGACTCTTGACTAAGCTGCACAAACAACAAATAATTTGCAATAATTCTATATAACAATTTGAAGTCATGACTTGTAGTCAGCACTTACCAGTGGTTTGTACAGTAAGCGTGCGCTTCAGTGTGCTCCTCCATGATTTCTTGCAGCCTAATGAACCACACACTTGCACCTTTTTCTAGCCTGACACCTGATTTCCTCTGTTGTGCTGCTCCATGATTGGCTCCAGCCTGCTGGACTGAAATTGCCCCAGTGTGCCCCTCCTTGATATCCCGCAACCCACCACCAGGGTTCCGACACATAACACACTTTTTTCAGGAAAGTAAACCTCCAGGGGTCCTTTCCATATTTTTACAGAGACTGCATAAGGACCGTTAGAAAAGCATTACCCATTGATTATTAAGCTTGGACCAGTGGGGTCCGGTGTTCGGGCCCCACCACGTAAAACCAGTCCCCATGACGTGAGTGGAATCTCAGGTTATGGAACCCACCAGGAGTTGAAAACAAGTGCACACACACTCACAGATACACACACAGACACACAGACACACACACACTCACACTCACACTCACAGATACACACACTCACAGATACACACACACACACTCTCTGCTGCTGATGTCTCTCTCTCTCTGAGCTCAGGGATCAGGGTTTTTCTCTCGTTTACGATTCCCAAAGAGCTCCTCAACGTGCGTCGCATTCATTGTCCTCCCCCAGAACGCTGCCTTTGTGGTGGTTCCTCTTTAATCTGCCTTTTGCCTTTGCTCTCTAGCCCCTCTCCTCCAGAGCGACACAAGCAACTAAAGTTTTCTCCTGAATTTAAATTAAGGCAACTGTCACGGCTGTATCTGGTTAGAGGAAGTTTTATATGGTGTTGTTGGAGTAAACATACGGGGAATAACCAGGGAGAGAGACCAGGAGGGGAGACCAGGGAGAGAGACCAGGAAGAGAGACCAGGGAGAGAGACCAGAGAAGAGAGACCAGGAGGGGAGACCAGAAAGACTAAATAGAGAGTGAAAAGAGAGACAGACTAGAAAGAGAGAGAGACAAGAGAAAGACCAGAGAGAGACCAGAGAGAGACCAGTGAGAGACCAGTGAGAGACCAGAGAGAGACCAGAGAGAGACCAGAGAGAGACCAGAGAGAGACCAGAGAGAGACCAGAGAGAGACCAGAGAGAGACAAGAGAGAGAACAGTGAGAAACCAGAGAGAGACCAGAGAGAGAGACCAGAGAGAGACCAGAGAGAGACCAGAGAGAGACCAGAGAGAGACCAGAGAGAGACCAGAGAGAGACCAGAGAGAGACCAGAGAGAGACCAGAGAGAGACCAGAGAGAGAGACCAGAGAGAGAGACCAGAGAGAGAGACCAGAGAGAGAGACCAGAGAGAGAGAGACCAGAGAGAGAGACCAGAGAGAGACCAGAGAGAGACCAGAGAGAGACTAGAGAGAGACTAGAGAGAGAGACCAGAGAGAGAGACCAGTGACTACGTTCGTTTATGAGCGTGGATGGAGCTAAACACATCTCCAGGTCTGTGACTGATGAGTACTAACACGTGTCCTTGTGTTTGCAGAGGTGGTCCAGCTCACGTTACCAGAAGACCAGAGGGTCTTGGTCTCCACGGTAACAGTGGGTCTCAGCGCGGTCCTGGTCTGTGGGATCCAGGGAACTCTGAGGCCTCCGGTCATCTGGAGGAGGAACGGGATCGACCTGAACTTCCTGGATCTGGAGGACATCAACGTGAGTGAGACCAGAGTGAGACCAGAGGAGACCAGAGGGAGAGCAGAAGGAGACCAGAGAGAGACCAGAGAGAGACCAGAGAGAGACCATTGAGAGACCAGAGAGAGATACCAGAGGGAGATACCAGAGTGAGACCAGTGGGAGACCAGAGCGAGACCAGAGGGAGAGCAGAGGGAGAGCAGAGGGAGAGCAGAGAGAGACCAGAGAGAGACCAGAGTGAGAGACCAGAGAGAGACCAGAGGGAGATACCAGAGTGAGACCAGAGTGAGACCAGAGTGAGACCAGTGGGAGACCAGTGGGAGACCAGAGAGAGACCAGTGGGAGACCAGAGAAAGGCCAGAGAGAGACCAGAGAGAGAGAGACCAGAGAGAGACCAGAGAGAGAGAGACCAGAGAGAGGCCAGAGAGAGACCAGAGAGAGACCAGAGAGAGACCAGAGAGAGAGAGGCCAGAGAGAGGCCAGAGAGAGACCAGAGAGAGAGACCAGAGAGAGACCAGAGAGAGACCAGAGAGAGGCCAGAGAGAGAGACCAGAGAGAGACCAGAGAGAGGCCAGAGAGAGACCAGAGAGAGACCAGAGAGAGACAAGAGAACGACCAGAGAGAGAGATCATAGAGACCAGAGAGAATATTGTAAAACACATGGTATAATAAAGGCGATGTGTTTTTGTCCCCTGGACTGCCACCTTAACGTGGTGGGGAAGTTTGAGTACTCGGATGATGCTGGGAGCTATGCTGTCTGGGGCTTCATGCCCCTGGTAGGGCCTCCCATGGCAGACAGGTCTCGGGTGACGAGTCAGACAAAGAGCAGTCCAGAAGACACCATGGACAGCACTCATACGAAGCCAGTGACGTCGCCCGGCATGGCGCAGCCGGGGCCCCACCCTGGAGCCAGGCCTGGGGTCGGGGCTCGTAGGCGAGCGCCTGGTGGCCGGGCCTTAGCCCACGGGGCCCGGCCGGGCTCAGCCTGAATGGACGACGTGGGCAGTCCCTCCTGTGGGCCCACCACCCGCAGAGGGGTCCGTGGTGGCGTGGTGCAGAGAGGACTGGGCAGCAGTCGAAGGCGGAGACCTCGACGACCTCGACGACCCAGTCCGCACACACAACATGTGGCTCTTGGGACGTGGAACGTCACCTCACTGGGGGGGAAGGAGCCCGAGCTTGTGGGGGAGGTTGAGCGATACCGACTAGAGATAGTCGGCCTCACCTCCACACACAGCTTGGGCTCTGGAACCCAACTCCTTGAGAGGGGTTGGACGCTCCACTTTTCTGGTGTTTCCCGCGGGGAGAGGCGGCGAGCTGGGGTGGCCATTCTCATTGCCCCCCATCTCAGCCGCCACGTGTTGGAGTTCTCCCCGGTGAATGAGAGGGTCGCGTCCCTCCGCCTCCGAGTGGGGGACAAGTCTCTCACTGTTGTGACGGCCTACGGGCCTAACGGCAGTGCAGAGTACCCGGCCTTCTTGGAGTCCTTGGGAGGGGTACTGGACGGTGCACCGCCCGGGGACTCTTGTGACACTTGGAGAGGGGTGATCGGGAAGAGCGGCCCCCCTGATCTGAACCCGAGCGGTGTTCAGTTGTTGGACTTCTGTGCCAGTCACAGTTTGTCCATCACGAACACCATGTTCGAGCACAAGGGTGTCCACCAGTGCACGTGGCACCAGGACACCCTAGGCCGGAGGTCGATGATCGACTTTGTTGTCGTATCATCTGACCTTCGACCGCGTGTCTCGGACACTCGGGTAAAGAGAGGGGCGGAGCTGTCAACCGATCATCACCTGGTCGTGAGTTGGATCCGCTGGCAGGGGAAGAAGCCGGTCAGACCTGGCAGACCCAAGCGTATAGTGAGGGTCTGCTGGGAACGTCTCGCTGAGCCCCCTGTCAGACGGACTTTCAACTCACACCTCCGGGAGAGTTTCTCCCAGGTCCCGGTGGAGGGAGGGGGACATGGAGTCCGAGTGGACCATGTTCTCTGCCTCAATCGCCGATGCGGCGGCTCGTAGCTGTGGTCGCAAGGTCTCTGGTGCTGGTCCCGGCGGCAACCCCCGAACCCGGTGGTGGACACCGGCAGTAAGGGATGCTGTCAGGCTGAAGGAGTCCTATCGAGCCATGATGGTTCGGGGGACTCCTGAGGCAGCTGTCCAGTACCGGCAGGCCAAGCGTGCCGCGGCCCGGGCTGTTGCAGAGGCAAAAACCCGGGACTGGGAGGAGTTCGGAGAGTCCATGGAGCATGACTATCGGTCGGCCTCAAAGAAATTCTGGAAAACCGTCCGGCGCCTCAGGAGGGGGAAGCAGTTCTTTGCCAACACCATGTACGGTGCGGGTGGAGAGCTGCTGACCTCGACGGGGGATATTGTCGGGCGGTGGAAGGAATACTTTGAGGTTCTCCTCAATCCCCCCGTCACGTCCTCTGTTTCAGAGGCAGAGGCTGAGGATGTTGGGGCGGATACATTCATCTCCCTGGCTGAGGTCACCAAGGTGGTTGGTAGCCTCCATGGTGGCAAAGCTCCGGGTGTGGATGAGATCCGCCCTGATTATCTAAAGTCTCTGGATGTTGTAGGACTGTCTTGGCTGACACGTCTCTGCAACATCGCGTGGCGATCGGGGGCGGTGCCAATGGAGTGGCAGACCGGGGTGGTGGTCCCTCTCTACAAGAAGGGGGACCGGAGGGTGTGTTCCAATTATCGTGGGATCACACTCCTCAGCCTCCCCGGTAAGGTCTACTCCAAGGTGCTGGAGAGGAGGCTACGGCCGATGGTCGAATCTCGGATCCAGGAGGAGCAGTGTGGTTTTCGTCCCGGTCGCGGAACACTGGACCAGCTCTATACTCTCCATCGGATACTCGAGGGTTCATGGGAGTTCGCCCAACCTGTCCACATGTGCTTTGTGGATTTGGAGAAGGCGTTCGACTGTGTTCCCCGGGGTGTCCTTTGGGGGGTTCTCCGGGAGTACGGGGTCGGGGGTCCTCTGCTGAGGGCCATCCGGTCCCTGTATGACCAGAGCCAGAGCTGTGTTCGCATTGCCGGCAGTAAGTCAGACCTGTTCCCGGTGAATATTGGCCTCCGACAGGGCTGCCCTTTGTCACCGGTTCTGTTCACTGTATTTATGGACAGAATATCTAGGCGCAGCCAGGGGTCGGAGGGGGTCCGGTTCGGGGACCACAGGATTTCATCTCTGCTGTTTGCCGACGATGTTGTCCTGTTGGCTCCAACGAACCAGGACCTGCAGCATGCACTGGGACGGTTTGCAGCCGAGTGTGAAGCGGCTGGGATGAGAATCAGCACCTCCAAATCTGAGGCCATGGTGCTCGACCGGAAAAAAGGTGCCCTGCCCTCTGCAGGTGGGTGGAGAGGTCCTTCCTCAAGTGGAGGAGTTCAAGTATCTCGGGGTCTTGTTCACGAGTGAGGGAAGAATGGAACGTGAGATTGACAGGCGGATCGGTGCAGCGTGCGCAGTGATGCGGTCGCTGTATCGGACCGTTGTGGTAAAGAGGGAGCTGAGCCGAAAGGCAAAGCTCTCGATTTACCGGTCAATCTTCGTTCCCTCCCTCACCTATGGTCATGAGCTTTGGGTAATGACCGAAAGAACGAGATCGCGGATACAAGCGGTCGAAATGAGCTTCCTCCGCAGAGTGGCTGGGCGCTCCCTTAGAGATAGGGTGAGGAGCTCAGTCACACGGGAGGAGCTCGGAGTAGAGCCGCTGCTTCTCCACGTCGAGAAGAACCAGTTGAGGTGGCTCGGGCATCTGTTCCGGATGCCTCCTGGACGCCTCCCTGGGGAGGTGTTCCGGGCACGTCCCACCGGGAGGAGGCCCCGCGGAAGACCTAGGACACGCTGGAGGGACTATGTCTCTCAGCTGGCCTGGGAACGCCTTGGGGTCCCCCTGGAGGAAGTGTGTGTGGATAGGGAAGTCTGGGCGTCTCTGCTTAGACTGCTGCCCCCGCGACCCGGCAACGGATGAAGCGGAAGATAATGAATGGATGGATGGATGTTTTTGTCGTGGCTGAGATGATATTTCCTGATGAAAGAGTCCTGTGTGAGCCGCGTTCTGACGGATTAGAAACAAACATTCAATTAGCGCCTGTTTGATAACGGCTGAAATATGGAGAGGGCGGCCATGTTGAGAGCCTGAGGGAGTGAGTGTTTTTCATCGTCCCCGTTATTGTCTGGGGCCCTCTGTGTTTGTGAAGAGGAGAAACACATTTGGAGCTTTTCTGTCTCAAACACAGCCTTAGCTCCAGAGGCCGAGGCTTTGGGGAAGTCTGGACTGGGACCGCTTTAAACCAGTTTTACATAATCCTTCAGATCCAGACGTTTGCTTGTGTTTGAATAAGGAGCAAGTGTTTAAATGCATAGAACGCATGGAGGCAATGGAGACCAGACAGACAACAACAACAACAACAGCAGTGCAGTGCTTTGTGAGTCTGGTCGGTGAAAGGCCCTGTATACATGACTTACTTATGGTCACATGTGGATGAAGTGAGAGTTTGGTGTTGCTCTCAAACCGGTCTGACCACTCTGCCCCCAGAGAGAGAGACCAGAGAGAGACCAGAGAGAGACCAGAGAGTGAGACTAGAGAGATGAGATAGAGACGAGAGAGAGAAGAGAGAGACCAGAGAGAAACCAGAGAGTGAGACGAGAGAGATGAGATAGAGACGAGAGAGAGAGACGAGAGAGTGATCGGAGAGACTAGAGAGACCAGAGAGAAAGAGCCAAGAGCGAGACTAGAAAGAGACCAGAGAGAGACCAGAGATAGAGCCAAGAGAGAGAGACAAGACTAGAGAGAGACTAAAGAGGTAGAGCCAAGAGCAAGACTAGAGCGAGACTAGAGCGAGGCAAGAGAGAGACTAGAGAGAGACCAGAGAGAGACTAGAGAGAGAGAAGATATAGACTAGAAAGACGAGAGAGAGACAAGACTAGAGAGAGACTAGAGAGACCAGAAAAAGACCAGAGAGAGAACAGAGAGACTAGAGAGTGATACTGGAGAGGGACCAGAAGGAGACCAGAGAGAGACCAGAGAGGGACCAGAGGGAGACCAGAGACCAAACATATCTGCCCCTTTTTAGAACAAATGCCCATATAAGGCAATTGGCTCCAGCTAGTTTATGTTCAAATCCGCCTCTTCCACATCAGGCTAACACTGTGGTGATGTCATACTGTGGTGATGTCACACTGTGGTGATGTCACACTGTGGTGATGTCACACTGTGCTGATGTCACACTGTGGTGATGTCACACTCCTCTCTGTGTACCTAGTGTGTGACATCATCTTAACTACTGACTTTAATGCTGTAATCTGCCCAAAGCTGCGGCTGTGTCCCCCTAGTGGCCGCCTCTGTCACTTCGCCCACATTTATCACACTAATGGTGGGATATTTTCAACCCGTACCATTTTTCAGACGAAGCAGCGTGGAATTCCCCCGCGCTCCTCTGTTCAGCTCGCGACATCACTCTTCTGTCGCCGTGCCAACCTCCCTGCTGTGTGCCTCCTCATCCACCAGAGAAAGACCAGAGTGAGACCAGAGAAAGAGGCTAGAGAGAGACCAGAGAGAGACCAGAGAGAGACCAGAGTGAGACCAGAGAGAGAGGCTAGAGAGAGACCAGAGTGAGGCTAGAGAGAGACCAGAGAGAGAGGCTATAGAGACCAGAAAGAGAGAGAGACCAGAGAGAGAGGCTATAGAGACTAGAAAGAGAGAGAGACCAGAGAGAGAGGCTATAGAGACCAGAAAGAGAGAGAGACCAGAGAGAGAGGCTATAGAGACCAGAAAGAGAGTCTATAGAGAGACCAGAGAGAGAGGCTATAGAGACCTGAAATAGTGAAACCAGTGTATTATACATAGATCTATGTAAAACCCATAACTATTGTTCTTTATTTTCATTTACCCTTTCTGTAAGGCTTTGTCTTTTATTTTATTTATTTATTTTATTTATTATTATTTTTTTTTTCTTCTTTTTCTATTTGTTTATTATTGTGTACATAAGACTATGTAAACACTGCGGCTTCTGTGGATGTTCATAACGGAGGAAGTTCGCCATATTATGTGTCTGTAAATAATGAAATGTTATTGATGCCTGGAGAATGGGGTGGGGGGGGGGTTAGCGGGGCTGGGTGTGTGCATGTGTGTGCGTGTGTGTTTGTGTATTTATGTTGGGATGGGTGGACCCATGGGAGGGAGGGGACAAACAAAAAAAGGTAAAATGTTTGCGCATTTGTTTTCTGTTCCGTGACCATTGTTATCTCTGTATGCAGCGCAACACTATAAATACTTGATCAAAAAAAAAAAAAAAATAGAGACCTGAAAGAGAGAGAGACCAGAGAGAGTGGTTATAGAGACAAGAAAGAGAGTCTATAGAGAGACCATAAAGAGAGAGATACCAGAGAGAGAGGCTATAGAGACCAGAAAGAGAGAGAGACCAGAGAGAGAGGCTATAGAGACCAGAAAGAGAGAGAGACCAGAGAGAGAGGCTATAGAGACCAGAAAGAGAGAGAGACCAGAGAGAGAGGCTATAGAGACAAGAAAGAGAGAGAGACCAGAGAGAGAGGCTATAGAGACAAGAAAGAGAGAGAGACCAGAGAGAGAGGCTATAGAGACAAGAAAGAGAGAGAGACCATAGAGAGTTTCTATAGAGACCAGAAAGAGAGAGAGACCAGAGAGAGAGGCTATAGAGACCAGAAAGAGAGAGAGACCAGAGAGAGAGGCTATAGAGACCAGAAAGAGAGAGAGACCAGAGAGAGTGGTTATAGAGACCAGAAAGAGAGAGAGACCAGAGAGGGAGGCTAGAGAGACCACCAAGAGAGAGAGACCAGAGAGAGAGGCTATAGAGACCAGAAAGAGAGAGAGACCAGAGAGAGTGGTTATAGAGACCAGAAAGAGAGAGAGACCAGAGAGAGAGGCTATAGAGACCAGAAAGAGAGAGAGACCAGAGAGAGTGGTTATAGAGACCAGAAAGAGAGAGAGACCAGAGAGAGAGGCTATAGAGACAAGAAAGAGAGAGAGACCAGAGAGAGTGGTTATAGAGACCAGAAAGAGAGAGAGACCAGAGAGAGAGACCAGAGAAAGGATAGAGAGATGGACCAGAGATAGAGAGATAGAACAGAGAGAAACCAGAGACCAAAGAGAGAGTGAGAGACTGAAGACAAACAGGCGAGAGTAATGTCACAATCAATCAATGCACATCTAATATACAGTCCATACTTCTATCAAGCAGTTTTAAGACAAATACATAATGTTGCCGTGCCAACCTCCCCCTCCTCCCCCTCCTCCTCCTCCTATAGATACTCTTCATGAACCCCTTGTTTCTGCATGTCTCACATATGGTAATCTGCTTTTCCTTGTATTCAAAGTCGTCAGAATGCTGAGAATGTGCCTCTGCTCTCTCTGGTACATCCGCCCCGTCCTTCTCTGTTTACCTCTGCGACTACAGAAGCAACTCGGAGATATTACTTCTAACTTCCCTTCACGTCCGAGCCGCCTCCCAAAATCTGCAAACACAGACTGTATACAGAAGGACAATGCAAACACAGACTGTATACAGATCGACAATGCTAACACAGACTGTATAGAGAAGCTAATGCTAACACAGACTGTATACAGAAGCTAATGCTAACGCAGACTGTATAAAGATGGGCAATGCTAAACTGCTAGCACAATGAAACCCTATAGGGAAGTGCTCATGGTGAAGTTTGTCTCCAACTGCGAGAGAGAGACCAGAGATAGAGAATGTCCAGATGTGAACCATTTGAGGACTGACCAATCAGAGGCCTTCATTTTTGGTGGAAACTCCGGCTCGCCTTAGCATCCGTCTTAGAACTTTAGCTCCAGCTAGCTCTTGTTCAAATCAACTTCATCCTCATTAAGGCAAGCACTATGGTGATGTCACACTCAGTCCAGGTACCAGGTGTCAGGGTGAGCTGTGATTGGTTCCTGACCTGTCCTACTTCCTGTTTGTGTCTAGGACTTTGGAGACGATGGTTCTCTGTACATCACCAAAGTGACCACGATCCACATGGGGAGCTACAGCTGCCACGCCTACGGCTACGAGACGCTGGTCCAGACGCACATCCTGCAGGTCAATGGTACGCTCTCCATGGTGCTGATGGTTCTCGAGTGTAGGTCTCTCTCTCTGGTGTGTGGCTCTCTCTGTTGTTTCTCTCTGGTCTTTCTCTGCTCTCTCTCTCTGTTGGGTCTCTCTCTGTCAATGGTACGCTCTCCATGGTGCTGATGGTTCATGAGTTTAGGTCTCTCTCTGCTCTCTCTGTCTGCGCTCTCTCACACTCTCTCTCTCTCTCTCTCTCTCTCCCTGCTCTCTCTCACTGCTCTCTCTCTCTCTGGCCTCTCTCTGCTCTCTCTCTGCTCTCTCTCTCTCTGTGGTCTCTCTCTCCCTCTCTGCTCTCTCTCTCTCTCTGCTCTCTCTCTCTCTGCTCTCTCTCTCTCTGGTCTCTCTCTCTCTGCTCTCTCTCTGCTCTCTCTCTCTCTCTGCTCTCTCGCTCTCTCTGCTGCTCTCTCTCTCTTGTCTGTGAAAGGCGGTATGTAAATAAACATTACTTACGTACTTACTCTCCTCTCTCCCTCTCTCTCTCTCTCTCTGCTATCTCTGTCTCTCTGCTCTCTCTCTCTCTGCTCTCCATCTCTCTCTCTCTGCTCTCTCTCTCTCTCTGCACTCTCTCTCTCGCTGCTCTCTCTGCTCTCTCTCTGCTCTCTCTCTGCTCTCTCTCTGCTCTATCTCTCTCCCTCTCTCTCTCTCTGCTCTCTCTCTGCTCTATCTCTCTCTCTCTCTCTCGCTGCTCTCTCTCTCTCTCTCTCTCTCTCTCTGCTCTCTCTCTGCTCTCTCTCTGCTCTCTCTCCCTCTCTCTCTCGCTGCTCTCTCTCTCTCTCTCTCTCTCTCTCTCTCTCTGCTCTCTCTCTGCTCTCTCTCCCTCTCTCTCTCTCTGCTCTCTCGCTGCTCTCTCTCTCTCTCTCTCTCTCTCTCTGCTCTCTCTCTGCTCTCTCTCTGCTCTATCTCTGCTCTATCTCTCTTCCTCTCTCTCTCTCTGCTCTCTCTCTGCTCTCTCTCTCTCGCTGCTCTCCCTCTCTCTCTCTCTGCTCTCTCTCTCTCTCTGCTCTCTCTCTCTGCTCTCTCTCTGCTCTCTCTCTGCTCTATCTCTGCTCTATCTCGCTTCCTCTCTCTCTCTCTGCTCTCTCTCTGCTCTATCTCTGCTCTATCTCTCTTCCTCTCTCTCTCTGCTCTCTCTCTGCTCTCTCTCTCTCGCTGCTCTCCCTCTCTCTCTCTCTGCTCTCTCTCTCTCTCTGCTCTCTCTCTGCTCTCTCTCTGCTCTATCTCTGCTCTATCTCTCTTCCTCTCTCTCTCTCTGCTCTCTCTCTGCTCTCTCTCTCTCTGCTGTGGGATCTTCTGTTAAAGCAGCTCTGGTCCCATTAACGCTCGAAGGAAAACTAAAAATATTCAAATTAAAAGTTTCCCCAACACCAGAAACGACCGCCCGAGAGCGTGTTGACAGAGCTGCGTGTGCGAGAAGAGGAGAAACATCCTATTCATCCTTTTCAATTATGAGAAGTGTTGTGTTCTGAAGAGGGGGGAGGGAGAGGGGGAGAGGGGGGGGGGGGGGCTCACAGTCGGCTTCTGTCCGAGAGATAAGTGCTTTGGGAAATCGTACAGAGGAAAACAAAGCTCCCACTGGTCCCTCTCTCTAGTTTATCTTTCTGGTGTCTTCTCTCTCTCTCCTTTTAGCCTCTCTTTATTCTCTCTATGGTCTGGATTTAGTCTCTCTCTGGTCTACTCTCAGCTCTCTCTCTCTCTTTAGTCTCTCTCTGGTTCTTGGTCTTTCTTGCTGGTCTCCCTCTCTGGTCCTTGGTCTCTCTCTCTGTCCTTGGTCTCTCTCTCTGGTCCTTGGTCTCTCTCTCTGGTCTCTCTCTATGGTCCTTTGTCTCTCTCTCTCTCTCTGGTCTCTCTTTCTCTCTGGTCTCTCTCTGGTCCTTGGTCTCTCTCTCTGGTCTCTCTCTATGGTCCCTCTCACTGGTCTCTCTCTATGGTCCTTGGTCCCTCTCACTGGTCTCTGTCTATGGTCCTTGGTCTCTCTCTGGTCTCTCTCTGTTGTCTCTCTCGCTGGTCCCTCTCTCTGGTCCTTGGTCTCTCTCTCTGGTCTTTCTCTGTGGTCTCCCTCTCTGGTCCTTGGTCTCTCTCTCTCTGGTCTTTCTCTGTGGTCTCCCTCTCTGGTCTTTGGTCTCTCTCTGGTCTCTCTCTCTGGTCTCTGTCTATGGTCCTTGGTCTCTCTCTGGTCTCTCTCTGGTCCTTGGTCTCTCTCTCTGGTCTCTCTCTGTGGTCTCTCTCTCTGGTCCTTGGTCTCTCTCTCTGGTCTTTCTCTGTGGTCTCCCTCTCTGGTCCTTGGTCTCTCTCTCTGGTCTCTCTCTCTGGTCTCTAGTCTCTCTCTTTCTGACTTCTTGCAGACAGTGAAAACGCTGTCTCTTTAAAACACTCCTCCTCAGCCTCGGACTCGTTGTGTTCCCTCCCTCTGTGCACCTGGACTCCTCTCAGTTATTTCTGTGTTTTTTTCTGGTCTTTTTTCTGGTGTTCTTTCCTTGAATATATTTGTGAGTCTGTGACTGCGGCGGCGCCCGGAGCTTCTGGAATCGTGTTTGGTGCCAGCGTCCTGCCGGCTGATACTAACTCCCCCGGCCACCGCGCACTGTGCAGCCCCCACGGGAGAAGCACTCATTATTCCTGTGCCAACTCCAAACTAGCCGCTCTCTCTGGTCTCTCTCTGGTCTCTCTCTGGTCTCTCTCTGGTCTCTCTCTGGTCTCTCTCTGGTCTCTATCTGGTCTCTCTCTGGTCTCTCTCTGGTCTCTCTCTGGTCTCTCTCTGGCATCTCTCTGGCATCTCTCTGGTCTCTCTCTCTGGTCTCTCTCTCTGGCATCTCTCTGGTCTCTCTCTGGTCTCTCTCTGGCATCTCTCTGGTCTCTCTCTGGTCTCTCTCTGGTCTCTCTCTGGTCTCTCTCTGGCATCTCTCTGGTCTCTCTCTGGTCTCTCTCTGGTCTCTCTCTGGCATCTCTCTGGTCTCTCTCTGGTCTCTCTCTGGCATCTCTCTGGTCTCTCTCTGGTCTCTCTCTGGTCTCTCTCTGGTCTCTCTCTGGTCTCTCTCTGGCATCTCTCTGGTCTCTCTCTGGTCTCTCTCTGGTCTCTCTCTGGTCTCTCTCTGGCATCTCTCTGGTCTCTCTCTGGTCTCTCTCTGGTCTCTCTCTGGCATCTCTTTGGTCTCTCTCTGGTCTCTCTCTGGTCTCTCTCTGGCATCTCTCTGGTCTCTCTCTGGTCTCTCTCTGGTCTCTCTCTGGTCTCTCTCTGGTCTCTCTCTGGTCTCTCTCTGGTCTCTCTCTGGTCTCTCTCTGGTCTCTCTCTGGTCTCTCTCTGGTCTCTCTCTGGCATCTCTTTGGTCTCTCTCTGGTCTCTCTCTGGTCTCTCTCTAGCATCTCTCTGGTCTCTCTCTGGTCTCTCTCTGGTCTCTCTCTGGTCTCTCTCTGGTCTCTCTCTGGTCTCTCTCTGGTCTCTCTCTGGTCTCTCTCTGGCATCTCTCTGGTCTCTCTTTGGTCTCTCTCTGGTCTCTCTCTCTGGTCTCTCTCTCTGGTCTCTCTCTGGTCTCTCTCTGGTCTCTCTCTGGTCTCTCTCTGGCATCTCTCTGGTCTCTCTCTGGTCTCTCTCTGGTCTCTCTCTCTGGTCTCTCTCTGGTCTCTCTCTGGTCTCTCTCTGGTCTCTCTCTGGTCTCTCTCTGGCATCTCTCTGGTCTCTCTTTGGTCTCTCTCTGGTCTCTCTCTGGTCTCTCTCTGGTCTCTCTCTGGTCTCTCTCTGGCATCTCTCTGGTCTCTCTTTGGTCTCTCTCTGGTCTCTCTCTGGTCTCTCTCTGGCATCTCTCTGGTCTCTCTTTGGTCTCTCTCTGGTCCATCTCTGGTCTCTGTCTGGTCTTTCTTTGGTGTCACTCTGGTCTTTTTCTGGTCCCTGCTCTCTCTCTCTCTCTCTCTGGCTTCTCTCCAGTCTTTTGCTTGCGCCACTATCTGCTCTCTTTCTTGTCTTTCTCTCAGGGGTCTCTCTGGTCTTTAGTGTCTCTCTGGTCTCTCTCTTTGTCTCTAACTGGTCTCTTTCTGGCTTCCCTCTGGTCTCTCTCTGGTCTCTCTTATTTACAGTGTGTCTCTGATGTGTGTGTGTCTCTGATGTGTGTGTGTATCTGATGTGTGTGTCTTTCTCCTCAGTGCCCCCTGTAATCCTCGTGTACCCGGAGACCCAGGCCCAGGAGCCGGGGGTGGCAGCCAGTCTGCAGTGTCACGCTGAGGGCATCCCTGAACCCAGACTCACCTGGCTCAAGAACGGACTGGAACTACTGCCTCAGTCCAAACAGGTCTCCCTCATCGGTGAGAGACCAGAGACCAGAGAGAGACCAGAGACCAGAGAGAGACCAGAGACCAGAGAGAGACCAGAGAGAGACCAGAGAGAGACCAGAGAGAGACCAGAGAGAGACCAGAGAGACCAGAGAGACCAGAGAGAGACTAGAGAGACCAGAGAGAGACCAGAGAGAGACCAGAGAGAGACCAGAGAGAGACCAGAGAGAGACCAGAGAGAGACCAGAGAGAGACCAGAGAGGGACCAGAGAGAGACCAGAGAGAGACAAGAGAGACGCCAGAGAGAGACGCCAGAGAGAGACCAGAGAGAGACCAGAGAGAGACCAGAGAGAGACCAGAGAGAGACCAGAGAGAGACCAGAGAGAGACCAGAGAGACGCCAGAGAGAGACGCCAGAGAGAGACGCCAGAGAGAGACCAGAGAGAGACCAGAGAGAGACCAGAGAGAGACCAGAGAGAGACCAGAGAGATGCCAGAGAGAGACCAGAGAGAGACCAGAGAGGGACAAGAAAGACCAATGAGAAACTAGAGTGAGACCAGAGAGAGATCAGAGAGGGACCAGAGAGAGACCAGAGAGAGACCAGAGAGAGACCAGAGAGGGACCAGAGAGAGACCAGAGAGAGACCAGAGAGAGACCAGAGAGACGCCAGAGAGAGACGCCAGAGAGAGACCAGAGAGAGACCAGAGAGAGACCAGAGAGAGACCAGAGAGAGACCAGAGAGAGACCAGAGAGAGACCAGAGAGATGCCAGAGAGAGATCAGAGAGAGACCAGAGAGAGACCAGAGAGAGACCAGAGAGAGACCAGAGAGAGACCAGAGAGAGACCAGAAAGAGACCAGAGAGAGACCAGAGAGATGCCAGAGAGAGACCAGAGAGAGACCAGAGAGAGACCAGAGAGAGACCAGAGAGAGACCAGAGAGAGACCAGAGAGAGACCAGAGAGACGCCAGAGAGAGACCAGAGAGAAACGCCAGAGAGAGACCAGAGAGAGACCAGAGAGAGACCAGAGAGAGACCAGAGAGAGACCAGAGAGACGCCAGAGAGAGACCAGAGAGAGACCAGAGAGAGACCAGAGAGAGACCAGAGAGAGACCAGAGAGGGACCAGAGAGAGACCAGAGAGAGACCAGAGAGAGACCAGAGAGACCAGAGAGGGACCAGAGAGGGACCAGAAAGACCAAAGAGAGAGCAGAGTGAGACTAGAGAGAAATACGATAGAGAGAGAGACTGCGACCCTTCTGCTTGAAAATGATGAAGTCTACTTCCTGTTTGTTAAGTCTACTTCCTGTTTGTGTTCCAGCCAATGGGAGCGAGCTGCTGATCCGCAGCGTGCGATACGAGGACACAGGAGCGTACACCTGCATCGCTAAGAACGAGGCGGGAGTCGACGAAGACATCTCCTCTCTGTTTGTGGAGGACTCTGCCAAGAAGACACGTAAGTGACACATGCTAACATAGAAGGACATGCTAACATGCTAACACAGACTGTATTCTTGCGTTTCATATGACGTCAGGGCAGTGAAAAATAAACGTAGGACAGGACGTGACGTATCCTGGCGGTGCAGTCTGCCGGGTTTATACACGGAGATATAGTAGAAGAAGAAGTGGTTTATACACGGAGATATAGTAGAAGAAGAAGCGCTGTCAAAATGCCATCTTTTTGTGCGGTGAACGCAAGCCCCGGTGATCCAAGATGGCGTCCTATTCAAATGAATGGATTGTGCTCAGCAGCGCATGGGACTTCATGGAGACCGGGAGATTTGCAGAACTCGTCTGTATTTGGGCATCGTCTGGTCCTCCCGGTTCTGTGAAGTGGACGAGCTCCCATGATGCTTTGCGCCAAACACGCGTGTGATGGTCTCATGCACATGCACAGAGGGGCTCGGCCGCGCTCTGACCAATCAGAGCAGTTCATCAGAGCTGTGTCAGAGCGGGAAGGAAAGGAGCAGAGTTTGTGGCAGTAAAGTGTGGATTTAAAGAAAACCGAAGGATTTAAGAAGAAAAAAAGTTCAGGACGACAAGAGACACTAAAATCCCCACAAAATCTGATCTTTATGAAAGCTGTAGGTTCTCTGTCAGGTTCTCTGTCAGGTTCTCTGTCAGGTTCTCTGTCAGGTTCTCTGTCAGGTTCTCTGTCAGGTTCTTTGTCAGGTTCTCTGTCAGGTTCTCTGTCAGGTTCTCTGTCAGGTTCTCTGTCAGGTTCTCTGTCAGGTTCTTTGTCAGGTTCTCTGTCAGGTTCTCTGTCAGGTTCTCTGTCAGGTTCTTTGTCAGGTTCTCTGTCAGGTTCTCTGACAGGTTCTCTGTCAGGTTCTTTGACAGGTTCTCTGTCAGGTTCTCTGTCAGGTTCTCTGAGAGGTTCTCTGACAGGTTCTCTGACAGGTTCTCTGTCAGGTTCTCTGACAGGTTCTCTGTCAGGTTCTCTGAGAGGTTCTCTGACAGGTTCTCTGACAGGTTCTCTGTCAGGTTCTCTGACAGGTTCTCTGACAGGTTCTCTGTCAGGTTCTCTGACAGGTTCTCTATCAGGTTCTCTGTCAGCTGAGGTCGAGCTGTTTTAATTTACATTGAGTTCTATGTGACTTTTTTCAGGGTAACCCTCGTGAATTTAGTTTGCAGTACCACAGCGCCCCCTGTGGCCATGGGTGGGACAGCTATAAGCTAGTAATACTCTATACAGTTATTATTATAGATCCATGGGTGTACGCTTGTAGCAACCACACAAATAGAGAGAAAGTCAAGAGTTTGTTCATGTTCCAACTGTGGTCTCATATAAAGGAGGACACTTTGAAAAAATCACTGGAATGAGGCGGGCGAGGTGGATCAAGGCTTTCCCAGATAAGCGCCCCCTGCAGGCCACCCCAATGAAACACAGCAATTTATCCTGTTTTTTTTCCCAAAAATGCCCAAAATCAAGACTCAGTTTAATGAAACCCAAGAATAGACTACAGACGGATAATGCTAATATAGACTGTAAACAGGAGGGCAATAAAGCCCAATAGAGAAATGCTCATGGGGAAGTTTGGCTCCAACTCTTTTATCTCAGCATCTCACATCTACTGTATCTATTGTCTCGCTCTGGTCTCTCTCTGCTCTCTCTCTCTGGTCTCTCTCTGGTCTCTCTCTGGTCTCGCTCTGGTCTCTCTCTGCTCTCTCTCTCTGGTCTCTCTCTGGTCTCTCTCTCTGGTCTCTCTCTCTGGTCTCTCTCTGGTCTCCCACTGGTCTCTCGCTCTGGTCTCTCTCTGGTGTCTCTCTCTGGTCTCTCTCTGGTCTCTCTCTCTGGTCTCTCTCTGGTCTCTCTCTGGTCTCTCTCTGGTCTCTCTCTGGTCTCTCTCATGTCTCTATCTGGTCTCTCTCTGGTCTCTCTCTGGTCTCTCTCTGATCTCTCTCTGGTCTCTCTCTGGTCTCTCTCTGGTCTCTCTCTGGTCTCTCTCTGGTCTCTCTCTGGTCTTTCTCTGGTCTCTCTCTGTCTCTCTCTGGTCTCTGTAAACTGTCCATATTTTCGTAGCCTGTGCTTCAGCTGCGAGTGTCTGAAGGACCTCTTCATATTTTATTGTTTGTGTCTGAGTAGAACTCTTCACTTCTTTCAATCAAGCTCTGAGTGTGCGATGCTAATCAGAGACTGTAGACCCAGGACTGAGGCTGTAGACCCAGGACTGAGGCTGTAGACCCAGGACTGAGGCTGTAGACCCAGGACTGAGGCTGTAGACCCAGGACTGAGGCTGTAGACTCTGACTTTCTCTTGTTCTGTGTCTCTTTTGCTGCAGTTGCAAACATCTTGTGGAGAGAAGAAGGTAAGTGTGAAACAACGACGTCTTCTGCAGAAACAGATTATATTTAGATTCAACATTATTTCTATAATATTTGGATTTAAGGAACCTAGCTTTAAAACATGTCTCCAGTAGTTCCTGGATCTATCATTAGTTTTAATGTGTTTTTGGCCTCGGTCACATCTCTTTCTGGTCCCGCCTGGGTTCTTTTTAGTCTCTCCTGGTCTCTTTCTGGTCTCTCTCCTGATGGTCTCTCTCCTGATGCTCTCTCTCTCTCTTGTCTCTCTCTCTTTGGTCTCTCTCCTGATGGTCTCTCTCCTGATGCTCTCTCTCTCTCTTTGGTCTCTCTCCTTATGGTCTCTCTCTGGTCTCTCTCCCTCTTCTCCCTCTCTGGTCTCTCACCTGATGCTCTCTCTCTTGTCTCTGGTCTCTCTCCTGACCGCTCTTTCTGCTCCCTCTCTGGTCTCTCTCCTGATGCTCTCTCTCTCTGGTCTCTCTCCTGATTGTCTCTCTCTGCTCCCTGTCTGGTCTTTCTCCTGATGCTCTCTCTCTTGTCTCTCTCCTTATGGTCTCTCTCCTGATGGTCTCCCTCTCTGGTCTCTCTCCTGACGGTCTCTCTCTCTTGTCTCTCTCTCTGGTGTCTCTCCTGACGGTCTCTCTCTCTTGTCTCTCTCTCTCTGGTCTCTCTCCTGATGCTCTCTCTCTCTTGTCTCTCTGTCTGGTCTCTCTCCTTTTGGTCTCTCTCCTGATGGTCTCCCTCTCTGGTCTCTGCTGATGGTCTCTCTCTCTTGTCTCCCTCTCTGGTCTCTCTCCTGACGGTCTCTCTCTCTTGTCTCCCTCTCTGGTCTCTCTCCTGACGGTCTCTCTCTCTTGTCTCCCTCTCTGGTCTCTCTCCTGACGGTCTCTCTCTCTGGTCTCTCTCCTGACGGTCTCTCTCTCTTGTCTCCCTCTCTGGTCTCTCTCCTGACGGTCTCTCTCTCTGGTCTCTCTCCTGACGGTCTCTCTCTCTTGTCTCCCTCTCTGGTCTCCCTCTCTGGTCTCTCTCCTGACGGTCTCTCTCTCTTGTCTCCCTCTCTGGTCTCTCTCCTGACGGTCTCTCTCTCTGGTCTCTCTCCTGACGGTCTCTCTCTCTTGTCTCCCTCTCTGGTCTCCCTCTCTGGTCTCTCTCCTGACGGTCTCTCTCTCTGGTCTCTCTCCTGACGGTCTCTCTCTCTGGTCTCTCTCCTGACGGTCTCTCTCTCTTGTCTCCCTCTCTGGTCTCCCTCTCTGGTCTCTCTCCTGATGGTCTCTCTCTCTTGTCTCCCTCTCTGGTCTCTCTCCTGACGGTCTCTCTCTCTGGTCTCTTTCCTGACAGTCTCTCTCTCTTGTCTCCCTCTCTGGTCTCTCTCCTGACGGTCTCTCTCTCTTGTCTCCCTCTCTGGTCTCTCTCCTGACGGTCTCTCTCTCTGGTCTCTCTCCTGACGGTCTCTCTCTCTTGTCTCCCTCTCTGGTCTCTCTCCTGACGGTCTCTCTCTCTTGTCTCCCTCTCTGGTCTCTCTCCTGACGGTCTCTCTCTCTGGTCTCTCTCCTGACGGTCTCTCTCTCTGGTCTCTTTCCTGACGGTCTCTCTCTCTTGTCTCCCTCTCTGGTCTCTCTCCTGACGGTCTCTCTCTCTTGTCTCCCTCTCTGGTCTCTCTCCTGACGGTCTCTCTCTCTGGTCTCTCTCCTGACGGTCTCTCTCTCTTGTCTCCCTCTCTGGTCTCTCTCCTGACGGTCTCTCTCTCTGGTCTCTCTCCTGACGGTCTCTCTCTCTGGTCTCTCTCCTGACGGTCTCTCTCTCTTGTCTCCCTCTCTGGTCTCTCTCCTGACGGTCTCTCTCTCTCGTCTCTCTCCTGACGGTCTCTCTCTCTTGTCTCCCTCTCTGGTCTCCCTCTCTGGTCTCTCTCCTGACGGTCTCTCTCTCTGGTCTCTCTCCTGACGGTCTCTCTCCTGACGGTCTCTCTCTCTGGTCTCTTTCCTGACGGTCTCTCTCTCTTGTCACCCTCTCTGGTCTCTCTCCTGACGGTCTCTCTCTCTTGTCTCCCTCTCTGGTCTCTCTCCTGACGGTCTCTCTCTCTGGTCTCTCTCCTGACGGTCTCTCTCTCTTGTCTCCCTCTCTGGTCTCCCTCTCTGGTCTCTCTCCTGACGGTCTCTCTCTCTTGTCTCCTTCTCTGGTCTCTCTCCTGACGGTCTCTCCTGACGGTCTCTCTCCTGACGGTCTCTCTCCTGACGGTCTCTCTCTCTGGTCTCTTTCCTGACGGTCTCTCTCTCTTGTCTCCCTCTCTGGTCTCTCTCCTGACGGTCTCTCTCTCTTGTCTCCCTCTCTGGTCTCTCTCCTGACGGTCTCTCTCTCTGGTCTCTCTCCTGACGGTCTCTCTCTCTTGTCTCCCTCTCTGGTCTCCCTCTCTGGTCTCTCTCCTGACGGTCTCTCTCTCTTGTCTCCCTCTCTGGTCTCTCTCCTGACGGTCTCTCTCTCTGGTCTCTCTCCTGACGGTCTCTCTCCTGACGGTCTCTCTCTCTGGTCTCTTTCCTGACGGTCTCTCTCTCTTGTCTCCCTCTCTGGTCTCTCTCCTGACGGTCTCTCTCTCTTGTCTCCCTCTCTGGTCTCTTTCCTGACGGTCTCTCTCTCTTGTCTCCCTCTCTGGTCTCTTTCCTGACGGTCTCTCTCTCTTGTCTCCCTCTCTGGTCTCTCTCCTGACGGTCTCTCTCTCTTGTCTCCCTCTCTGGTCTCTCTCCTGACGGTCTCTCTCTCTTGTCTCCCTCTCTGGTCTCTCTCCTGACGGTCTCTCTCTCTGGTCTCTCTCCTGACGGTCTCTCTCTCTTGTCTCCCTCTCTGGTCTCTCTCCTGACGGTCTCTCTCTCTGGTCTCTCTCCTGACGGTCTCTCTCTCTGGTCTCTCTCCTGACTGTCTCTCTCTCTTGTCTCCCTCTCTGGTCTCTCTCCTGACGGTCTCTCTCTCTGGTCTCTCTCCTGACGGTCTCTCTCTCTGGTCTCTCTCCTGACGGTCTCTCTCTCTGTTCCAGGTCTGAGTGTAGGAAACATGTTCTATGTGTTCTGTGATGATGGGATCACGGTGCTGCAGCCGAACGAGTGCGAGATCCAGAGGCACATGAAGAAGAGCGACCGCATCCTGGCCACTTATGTAAGACCCACATGGTTGAAGGCACTATATGTAAGACCCACATGGTATAAGGCACTATATGTAAGACCCACATGGTATAAGGCACTATATGTAAGACCCACATGGTATAAGGCACTATATGTAAGACCCACATGGTATAAGGCACTATATGTAAGACCCACATGGTATAAGGCACTATATGTAAGACCCACATGGTATAAGGCACTATATGTAAGACCCACATGGTATAAGGCACTATATGTAAGATCCACATGGTATAAGGCACTATAGGTCAGTTAATACGCAGAAACAAAGTGTCCTATCACAACTATGCAGACGACACTCAGATCTATGTCTCACTGACTGCAGGAGAACATGGACCAGTGGACTCACTCCTTCACTGTATCCAACAGATCAGTGAGTGGATGCAAAACAACTTCCTTCAGCTAAACGCAGACAAAACTGAAATGATTGTCTTTGGTCCCCAGAAACAAAGAGAGAGCGTCATCTGTCACCTCCAGTCTCTCTCCCTAAAACCTTCAAACAAGGTCAGAAATCTAGGGGTAATACTGGACTCAGACTTAAATTTTAATAGCCACATCAAATCAGTAACATCAGCAGCATTTGACCATCTAAAAAACATTGCCAGGATCAAAAACATAGTGTCTAAAGCAGACCTGGAGATTCTTATCCATGCATTTGTCTCCAGTAGGTTAGACTACTGCAATGGCCTGCTCACAGGTCTGTCCAAACAGGCTGTAAAACAGCTGCAGTACATTCAAAATGCAGCAGCTCGAGTCCTGACTAGAACCAGGAAGTACGACCACATTAGTCCTGACTAGAACCAGGAAGTACGACCACATTAGTCCTGACTAGAACCAGGAAGTACGACCACATTAGTCCTGACTAGAACCAGGAAGTACGACCACATTAGTCCAGTTCTCAGGTCTCTGCACTGGCTTCCTGTGGCTCAGAGAATAGACTTTAAAACAGCTCTGCTTGTTACAAGTCTCTCTATGGCCTCGCACCAAAATATATTAGTGACATGTTAGTCCCATATGAACCAGCCCGGACTCTGAGGAGCACAGGGACTGGACTCCTGCTGGGACTCTGAGGAGCACAGGGACTGGACTCCTGCTGGGACTCTGAGGAGCACAGGGACTGGACTCCTGTTAGTGCCCAGAGTCAGAACTAAACATGGGGAGGCTGCTTTTCAGATTCATGCTGCTAAAATCTGGAACAATCTTCCTGAAGATGTGAGACAGGCCTCCTCTCTGACAATGTTTAAAACCAGGTTAAAAACTGTGCTGTTTAGCTGTGCTACAACTGAGGGATTTTATATTTTTATCTTTCTTTTTAATGTTCTGTGATTATTTATGATTTTAATGCTTTCTTTTGTTCAGCACTTTGAGTTGCCTTGTGTATGAATTGTGCTATACAAATAAACTTGCCTTGCCTTACAACCTATGTAATGGTTTAAGGCACTATATGTAAGACAGAGACCATAGACTCGAGAGAGCAGAGAGACCAAAGAGTGAGACCAGAGAGAGACCAGAGAGTCTAGACAGACCATAGTGAGACCAGAGAGACCCCGGCGAGACACCAGAGAGAGAGAGCTGAGGGAGACAAAGAGAGAAACCAGAGAGAGACAAAGAGATAGGCTAAAGAGAAAGAGACCAGAGAGAGATACCTGTAAGAGAGACTAGAGAGGGACTAGAGAGAGAAACAAGAGAGAGAGACCAGGGGGAGAGACCAGCAGGAGCATACAGAGATAACAGGGGTGATGTGCTCTCTCTTGCGTCTCCCTGGACCACTGTCTGCTGCTGCTGAAGGAGCTGTGGTCAGTTTAGTTCAGGCCACAGTATAGACAGTTACGGTAATCTTCCCTCTGGGGTGCTCTCTTCTTCTCCTGCTGTAGACGGGGGTCTCTATCGCCCCCTGGAGGCCTCCTGCTGATTGCTTACCAGACCAAAACTGTTGAAATTGCACATTGCTCTTATTGCAGTTAATAGACCCACAGAACACCACCTTTTCTCCAGATAGTCTCAGTAATGAAGCAGCAGGACACACACACACACACACACACACACTGTACCAGGAGAGGACACAGAGGGGTCTTTATCACTGCATTTATTTTGATTTCAGACTGTTTTAAAGTCTAGCAGTTTTCACCTCTCTCTGTGTAACTGCATTAGACACACACACACCCAGACAGATACACACACAAAGAGACACACATACACGCACACAGAGATACACAGAATCGATGTGTAATCCAATCACACTGTCCCTTAAATCACAGCGACAACCACTTTTAGCACCGTAAGCAGTGTGTGTGTCTGTGTCAGTGTCTGTCTGTGTGTGTCTGTGTGTGTGTGTGTGTGTGATTGCGCCTGTGTGTGTGTGTGTGTGTGTGTGTATGTGTATGTGTCCAGAGATAGACCAGAGAGAGACCAGAGAGAGACCAGAGAGAGACCAGAGAGAGACCAGAGAGAGACCAGAGATAGACCAGAGATAGACCAGAGATAGACCAGAGAGAGACCAGAGATAGACCAGAGAGAGACCAGAGATAGACCAGAGATAGACCAGAGATAGACCAGAGATAGACCAGAGATAGACCAGAGATAGACCAGAGAGAGACCAGTAAGTCCATAAAAGTCCTTTGCACCTGCACCTGTGTGAGAGCTGCCGATTCATTGACTCCCGGAGGAGAAACTGGTCTGGGACACACCTGGTTTACACCATGTGCATAAACCAGAGTAGACATTAAAGATTTAAGATTTAATGAAGGAATACAACAAGCAACAACACAGACTGTTATAGGTGGACGTGTGCTTGCTGGTCTGATGCTGTGGTTGCTGGTCTGATGGTGTTGCTTCCTGGTGTGTGATGGTGTGCTTGCTGGTCTGACGCTGTGCTTGCTGGTCCACAGGAGGAAATGTGTCCTCAGGGGGAGGTGTGCGTCTGGTCGTCTGCGGTGAACGTCAGAGACAAATACATCTACGTCACTCAGCCCCAGCTCAGCCGCCTGCTGCTCATCGACCTGCAGACTCAGAGACTGGTGCAGGTGAGAGCCAGGACCATGTGAGACACAGGACCATGTGAGACTCAGAGACTGGTGCAGGTGAGAGCCAGGACCATGTGAGACACAGGACCATGTGAGACTCAGAGACTGGTGCAGGTGAGAGCCAGGACCATGTGAGACACAGGACCATGTGAGACTCAGAGGCTGGTCCAGGTGAGAGCCAGGACCATGTGAGACTCAGAGGCTGGTCCAGGTGAGAGCCAGGACCATGTGAGACACAGGACCATGTGAGACACAGAGGCTGGTCCAGGTGAGAGCCAGGACCAGGTGAGACACAGAGGCTGGTCCAGGTGAGAGCCAGGACCATGTGAGACACAGAGGCTGGTCCAGGTGAGACACAGGACCATGTGAGACTCAGAGGCTGGTCCAGGTGAGAGCCAGGACCAGGTGAGACACAGGACCATGTGAGACACAGAGGCTGGTCCAGGTGAGAGCCAGGACCAGGTGAGACACAGAGGCTGGTCCAGGTGAGAGCCAGGACCAGGTGAGACACAGGACCATGTGAGACACAGAGGCTGGTCCAGGTGAGAGTCAGGACCATGTGAGACACAGAGGCTGGTGCAGGTGAGAGCCAGGACCAGGTGAGACCCAGGGGTTGGTCCAGGTGAGAGGCGGTCCTGCCACTCAGCTGGACCAACCCCTGGAAACACTCCCAACCAGGGCAGAGTAGAGGAGATCAGAGACCAGAGAGAGACCAGAGAGAGACCTGAGACTAGAGAGAGTGGGACTAGAGGGAGACCAGAGAGACACCAGAGAGAGAGACCAGAGAGAGACCTGAGACTAGAGAGAGTGGGACTAGAGGGAGACCAGAGAGAGACCAGAGAGAGAGACCAGAGAGCAGAGTAGAGTAGACTAGAGAGAGACACCAGAGAGAAAGACCTGAGACTAGAGAGAGTGGAACTAGAGGGAGACAGAGACCAAAGAGAGACCAGAGAGAGATACCAGAGAGAGAGAGACCAAAGAGAGAGACCAGAGAGAGATACCAGAGAGAGAGAGACCAAAGAGAGAGACCAGAGAGAGAGACCAGAGAGAGATACCAGAGAAAGACCAGAAAGAGAGAGACCAGAGAGCAGAGTAGAGAAACTACAGAGTCCAAACATCAGCGATTAAAACCTCAGATATTGTGTCATTTAAAGTAAATATTCTGCACACATGGTACCTGCTTTTCACCTGGTCTCGGACACAAGCAGAGATAACAAAGTGCAGTAAAGTGCCTCAAAGTGCTGAAATGCTGGTTTGAGTCTCCGTCTGCGGTGGACGGGCACAGACCACGCAGAGACCTCAGACTCGGGGCATAAATCAAACACATCTCTTAAATCCGGAACCATCGGAGACCAGGTGGGGGCCGCCTGCCGCACCATCAGTCTTGAGCAGAGCTGTTTAGAGGCTCCCCCTGGGGCCCGTCTCTGCTCTGGTCATTTATCCTGAGGCTGCGGCGAAGGACCAGCAGCGACGGGGAAGACCAGGAGCGAGGAGAAGCCATTATGGAGACGGGGACCGAGAGAAACCATTTACCAGAACTACAGGAGAGTTTAGATTCTCTGGTCCTGGTTTGTCACATGGTAATGGGTTCTAAAGATGACACGCAATCAGGAAATTAGTGAAGAAGTAAGTGTGGGTTTTAATATACGGGCTGTAAAACTCCACACCAGGAGACCAGAGAGAGACCAGGGAGGGACCAGAGCGAGACCAGAGAGAGACCAGAGAGAGACCAGGGAGGGCCCAGAGAGAGACCAGAGAGAGAAAAGAGAGAGTAGAGAGTGACCAGAGAGAGACCAGAGAGAGACCAGGGAGGGACCAGAGAGAGACCAGAGAGAGACCAGGGCGGGACCAGGGAGAGACCAGAGAGAGACCAGGGAAGGACCAGAGAGAGACCAGGGAGAGGAGAGAGACCAGGGAGGGACCAGAGAGAGACCAGAGAGAGAAAAGAGAGAGGAGAGAGAGACCAGGGAGAGACCAGAGAGGAACCAGAGAGACCAGAGAGAGACCAGAAAGAGACCAGGGAGGGACCAGGGAGGGACCAGAGAGAGACCAGGGAGGGACCAGGGCGGGACCAGGGAGAGACCAGAGAGAGACCAGGGAGAGACCAGGGAGGGACCAGAGAGAGACCAGGGAGAGGAGAGAGACCAGAGAGGAACCAGAGAGAGACCAGAGAGAGACCAGGGAGAGACCAGGGAGAGACCAGGGAGAGACCAGAGAGAGACCAGGGAGAGACCAGGGAGAGACCAGAGAGAGATAAGAGAGAGACACCAGAGAGAGAGAGAAGAGAGACACCAGAGAGAGAGAAGAGAGAGACCAGAAAGAGAAAAATTAAAAACAGAAAGAACCATAATGTATTTTTTTACATGGTTAACCCCAGTCCAGGAGGCATCCCAAACATATAGAGGCGGAGGAGCAGCGGGTCTACTCTGAGCTTCTCCTACATGTCTTTGACCATTGCTCTGTCCCCTGGTCTTCCCGCAGGTCGTGGCCACGGACCCGTTCCCAGTGAAGCTGCAGTACGACAAGTCACATGACCAGGTGTGGGTGCTGACCTGGGGCACCATGGAGCGAGGCCACCCCACCCTGCAGGTACAACACCAGCAACACAGACACCAGCAACACAGACACCAGCAACACACACAAACTAAACACACAGCAGCACACAAACACACACAAACACACAGAAACACACATAAACTAAACACACAGACACCAGCAACACACTCTTTCTCTCTGGTCTCTCTCTTTGGTCTCTCTCTGGTCTCTCTTTGGTCTGTCTCTGGTCTTTCTCTGGTCTCTTTCTGGTCTCTTTCTGGTCTCTCTTTGGTCTCTCTCTGGTCCCTCCCTGGTCTCTCTCTGGTCTCTCTCTGGTTCCTCTCTGGTCTCTCTCCTCTCCCTGGTCTCTCTCTGGTCCCTCCCTGGTCTCTCTCTGGTCTCTCTCTGGTCTCTCTCTGGTCTCTCTCTGGTCTCTCTCTCTGGTCTCTCTCTGGTCTCTCTCTGGTCTCTCTCTCTTTGGTCTGTCTCTGGTCTTTTTTTTGGTCTCTTTCTGGTCTCTCTCTGGTCTCTCTCTGGTCTCTCTCTGCTCTCTCTCTGGTCTCTCTCTGGTCTCTCTGGTCTCTCTCTAGCCCCTCTTTCTGGTCTCTCTCTGGTCTCTCTGGTCTCTCTCTGGTCTCTCTCTGGTCTCTCTGGTCTCTCTCTGGTCTCTCTCTGGTCTCTCTCTGGTCTCTCTCTCTGGTCTCTTTCTGGTCTCTCTGGTCTCTCTCTGGTCTCTCTCTGGTCTCTCTCTGGTCTCTCTGGTCTCTCTCTGGTCTCTCTCTGGTCTCTCTCTGGTCTCTCTGGTTTCTCTCTAGCCCCTCTTTCTGGTCTCTCTCTCCTGTCTCTCTCTGGTCTCTCTGGTCTCTCTCTGGTCTCTCTGGTCTCTCTCTGGTCTCTCTCTGGTCTCTCTCTGGTCTCTCTGGTCTCTCTGGTCTCTCTCTGGTCTCTCTCTGGTCTCTCTGGTCTCTCTCTAGCCCCTCTTTCTGGTCTCTCTCTCCTGTCTCTCTCTGGTCTCCGCTGACCAGTGAGAGACCATAAAACGCTGCTCTAAAGATGTGACTATCTAAGATGAGACCATAAATACTTGATGTGAGAAGGAATGAGAGAATCAAAGTGTTTAGTTTCCAGAAGCTGCTGCAGAGACATGTTTAGTCCCAGCTCAGTGGTTTGAAAGTCAGGGACCTCAGCTTTAAACGTCTGTGAGAGGAAGGTCATAAAAGCAGGAAGTGGTTTGAGACGTGATCCTGTTTTAGAGCAACTGATGCAGAGACATGTCTGCTGTCAACCAGGATGGAAGACCAGAGGGAGACCAGAGGGAGACCAGAGAGAGACCAGAGAGAGACCAGAGAGAGACCAGAGAGAGACCAGAGAGAGACCAGAGGGAGACCAGAGAGAGACCAGAGAGAGACCAGAGAGAGACCAGAGGGAGACCAGAGAGAGACCAGAGGGAGACCAGAGAGAGACCAGGGAGAGACCAGGGAGAGACCAGGGAGAGACCAGAGAGAGACCAGAGAGAGACCAGAGGGAGACCAGAGAGAGACCAGGGAGAGACCAGAGAGAGACCAGAGAGAGACCAGAGGGAGACCAGAGGGAGACCAGAGAGAGACCAGAGAGAGACCAGAGAGAGACCAGAGAGAGACCAGAGAGAGACCAGAGAGAGACCAGAGGGAGACCAGAGGGAGGCCAGAGAGAGACCAGAGGGAGACCAGAGAGAGACCAGAGAGAGACCAGAGAGAGACCAGAGAGAGACCAGAGAGAGACCAGAGAGAGACCAGAGGGAGACCAGAGAGAGACCAGAGAGAGACCAGAAAGAGAGACCAGAGAGAGACCAGAGAGAGACCAGAGAGAGACCAGAGAGAGACCAGAGGGAGACCAGAGGGAGACCAGAGGGAGACCAGAGAGAGACCAGAGAGAGACCAGAGACCAACTGCATCCACATAGTCACTCTGAGGATTTACTAAATAACCACTTGCAGTGAAAAGACAAATAATAATAGTCAATAATCCTGGTTTTGGTGTCGTTACCGTGACGACACTCACTTCCAAAACACTGAGCAGAATATGTGCTTTTCTGTTTTTCTCCTTCATAAATGTGTGGTTTCGTTTCGCTGCTTCAGGAGGAAAAAACAATTATGAAATGTAATCAGAAGAAAAACACTGAGAGAGAGGCCCAGAGGGAACACCAGCACTGATCCAGGATCTGTACCAGCACTCAGGACCATACCAGAGAGAGAGACCAGAGAGAGACCAGAGAGAGAGACCAGAGAGAGACCAGAGAGAGAGACCAGAGAGAGACCAGAGAGAGACCAGAGAGAGAGCAGTGAGAGAGACCAGAGAGAGATCAGAGAGAGAGACCAGAGAGAGACCAGAGAGAGAGACCAGAGAGAGACCAGAGAGAGACCAGAGAGAGACCAGAGAGAGAGCAGTGAGAGAGACCAGAGAGAGATCAGGGAGAGAGACCAGAGAGAGACCAGAGAGAGAGCAGTGAGAGAGACCAGAGAGAGATCAGGGAGAGAGACCAGAGAGAGACCAGAGAGAGAGCAGAGAGAGACCAGAGAGAGACCAGAGAGAGAGACCAGAGAGAGACTAGAGAGAGACCAGAGTGAGACCAGAGAGAGACCAGAGAGAGAGACCAGAGAGAGAGACCAGAGAGAGACCAGAGAGATACTAGAGAGAGACTAGAGAGAGACCAGAGAGAGAGACCAGAGAGAGACCAGAGAGAGAGACCAGAGAGATACTAGAGAGAGAGACCAGAGAGAGAGACCAGAGAGAGACCAGAGAGAGACCAGAGAGAGAGACCAGAGAGAGAGACCAGAGAGAGACCAGAGAGAGACCAGGGAGAGACCAGAGAGAGACCAGAGAGAGACCAGAGAGAGACCAGAGAGAGACCAGAGAGAGACCAGAGAGAGACCAGAGAGAGAGACCAGAGAGAGAGACCAGAGAGAGACTAGAGAGAGAAACCAGAGAGAGACCAGAGAGAGAGACACCAGTAGAGAGAGACCAGAGAGAGACCAGGGAGAGACCAGAGAGAGACCAGGGAGAGACCAGAGAGAGAGACCAGAGAGAGAGACCAGAGAGAGACCAGAGAGAGACCAGGGAGAGACCAGAGAGAGACCAGAGAGAGACCAGAGAGAGACCAGAGAGAGACCAGAGAGAGACCAGAGAGAGACCAGAGAGAGAGACCAGAGAGAGAGACCAGAGAGAGGCCAGAGAGAGACCAGAGAGAGACCAGAGAGAGAGACCAGAGAGAGACTAGAGAGAGACCAGAGAGAGAGACCAGACAGAGACCAGAGAGAGACCAGAGAGAGAGACCAGAGAGAGAGACCAGGGAGAGACCAGAGAGAGGCCAGAGAGAGACCAGAGAGACCAAAGAGAGAGACCAGTGGGAGAGACCAGAGTGAGAGACCAGAGAGAGACCAAAGAGAGAGACCAGTGGGAGACCAGAGAGAGACCGGACAGAGATCCTCTCACATTAGTCTGAGAGAGTCTTCTGTCAGACTTAAACTTTAACTGCGGCATCACTGTCATTCACATCTGCAGGTCTCTCTCTGGTCTCTCACAGACTGTATACAGATGCTACATGCTAACACAGACTGTATACAGATGCTACATGCTAACACAGACTGTATACAGATGCTACATGCTAACACAGACTGTATACAGATGCTACATGCTAACACAGACTGTATACAGATGCTACATGCTAACACAGACTGTATACAGATGCTACATGCTAACACAGACTGTATACAGATGCTACATGCTAACACAGACTGTATACAGATGCTACATGCTAACACAGACTGTATACAGATGCTACATGCTAACACAGACTGTATACAGATGCTACATGCTAACACAGACTGTATACAGATGCTACATGCTAACACAGACTGTATACAGATGCTACATGCTAACACACAGACTGTATACAGATGCTACATGCTAACACAGACTGTATACAGATGCTACATGCTAACACAGACTGTATACAGATGCTACATGCTAACACAGACTGTATACAGATGCTACATGCTAACACAGACTGTATACAGATGCTACATGCTAACACAGACTGTATACAGATGCTACATGCTAACACAGACTGTATATCAGATGCTACATGCTAACACAGACTGTATACAGATGCTACATGCTAACACAGACTGTATATAGATGCTACATGCTAACACAGACTGTATACAGATGCTACATGCTAACACAGACTGTATACAGATCGTTTCCTGCTTTAACCTCGAGAGCGCTCAGTTTTCAGTTCTTTGTAAATAATGGATTTTTATGCAGAGTTTGAAATGTCGAGTCATTTAAATTCAAAAGCAGCGATAAGGAGGTTTTTAGGAACAAAGTGAGCGTTGTAGAGAGAGAAGAGAGATATCATGGAGAGGAGAGAGGGAGAGAGACCAGAGAGAAAGAAGGAAAGAGAGGGACCAGGGACAAAAGAGAGAGGGACCAGGGAAAGGAGAGAGGGAGAGAGAGACCAGGGAGAGGAGAGAGGGAGAGAGAGAAACTGTGGGGTGAGGCGGGAGGGAGGGAGAGAGAAGAGAGAGAGACCAGGGAAAGGGGAGGAGGATAGAGAGAGAGAGAGAGACCAGGGAGAGGAGAGAGAGAGACCAGGGAGAGGAGAGAGAGAGACCAGGGAGAGGAGAGAGGGAGACCAGGGAGAGAGGGACCAGAGACAAAAAAAAGAGGAGAGGGAGAGAGAGAAACCAGGGAGAGGAGAGATATGGAAGAGAGACCAGGGAGAGGAGAGAGAGAGAGGGAGAGAGACCAGATTTAGACCAGTGAGAGAGAGAGAGACCAGAGAGAAAATGTTCCCGGACTGAGACTGGAGCGTTTACATAAAAAGGGGCGGGGCTACATATTTGTGCCAAAGCTTCTTGACGTTAGCGTGGGTGGAGCTAAAAAGAGAGAAAAAGGCGATTTATGAAACGACTTCTCCTTCACTTCCCGCACTGAGTCCTCCCTGTGTGTGTCCTTTAAAGCTGCTCTGTGTAAATCTGTGTGAGCGCTGCTGTGGCCCCCTGCTGGGCGCCAGCGAGAGTGCGGCTCAGAAAACACATTCTTATTCCCCGTGTGTGTCTCGCTCTGAAACAAAAGCCACAGACTTCAGAGGAAGAAGCCACAAGGAAGTGTGTAAAGACTGAGGAGGCGATGAAAATGGATGAGTTTGACTGTGGGCACAAACAAGTTGGTCTGAGAGAGTCGTCTGTCAACTCCTGTGTCCAGAGAGAGAGAGAGACCAGAGAGAGAGAGAGCAGAGGGAGGCCAAGAGAGAGAGAGACCAGAGAGAGGAGGCCAGAGAGAGAGAGTAGACCTAGAGAGAGAGAGAGACCAGAGAGGGGGAGGCCAGAGAGAGAGAGAGTAGAGGGAGGCTAGAGAGAGAGAGACCAGAGAGAGGGAGGCCAGAGAGAGAGGAGTAGAGGGAGGCTAGAGAGAGAGAGAGACCAGAGAGGGGGAGGCCAGAGAGAGAGAGAGAGTAGAGGGAGGCTAGAGAGAGAGAGAGACCAGAGAGAGGGAGGCCAGAGAGAGAGAGAGTAGAGGGAGGCTAGAGAGAGAGAGAGACCAGAGAGGGGGAGGCCAGAGAGAGAGAGAGAGTAGAGGGAGGCTAGAGAGAGAGAGAGACCAGAGAGGGGGAGGCCAGAGAGAGAGAGAGTAGAGGGAGGCTAGAGAGAGAGACCAGGGAGAGAGAGCAGAGGGAGGCCAGAGAGAGACCAGAGAGCAAGAGGGTGTCCAGAGAGAGAGAGAGCAGAGAGAGGCTAGAGAGAGAGATAGAGAGACCAGAGAGGGAGACCAGAGAGAGAGACCAGAGACCCCCGGGAGGCCAGAGAGCGAGAGAAAGAGACCAGAGAGAGAGCAGAACCAGGACTTAGGCTG